GATATGTCCAGGAATACCTCTCCACATTCTATCTGACTCTCTCTGTCTGCAAGACATCATGGGCTTATCAGAATCTATTGTCAAGGTAGACCTGGGCCAACAGAAGGAATGATGCCAGCCTCAGCTGATGTGAGAGTGATAAATGCACTTTGGCTTCCTCTGAATTAATCTACAATCACACAACACTTTATGATTTGTATAGAAGACTTGCATGTGACTAGATCAGGTTGCATGTGAACCTCTAGTTAAAGCAATTCAAATAATTTTTGCGAGAGGATTATTTCATACCGCTTAGGATTCTTACATTTAGACCAGTTGACAAGATAATGAGGCCTTGGTCAATGACAGCACAGTGGACCCATCGTTAGCTCATTATTTGGAGCATGTTCCCACACAGTTGAGCATAGACAACACAACACTGATCATTAGCCACCCACAATGGATATGAACTTAGTTGAGTTATTTTAGATTACCCATACCCTCATGTATCCCTCTGCATATGTAATACACACATGCAGTACATTGTGCTTTATAGTATCTTTCCAACTACTAGGCTACTTTTAAAGATAGACACATATGTACAGAACCATGATGTTTGAGGCAGCTATTCCTTTAAAGCTGCAAAATATGTCACTTTTTGGGGCGACCCGACCAAATTCATGTAGAAATATGAGTTATAGATCTGTAATTGCCATTGAATGCAGGTCTAAGAAGCGGTAGATCGGTTCTATGTGCGCTATTTTATATGCTTCCCGTTCTTAAGTTTAGTTTTCCATCTTTTACTTTCGATTTTGTACACCAGCTTCAAACAGCTGAAAATACAATATTTTTGGTTAAGGAAAATATATTTCACAGTGGTTTAGATGGTACAATGATTCTCTACACTATGCTTGCTTATTTTGTCACAGAAACTGAAATTAGGCAAACTATTAGAATTTTTGCAACCAGGAAAGGACAAACTTTCAGATAATTATTAGGAAAACCTTTTGCCATCATTGTGATGTCGCCAGATTGACTTCAGATGCAGTATAACGTTCGCTAGCTAAGATTGAGGGGAGACCACCAGATTTTAGCAAGCTAACATTAGCATTGCTATTTTTGACAAACTTTGCTAACTAATGACAAATTGCCATCTGTCTAAAGTAAATTTGAAGACATGAAAATTATTGTCATTCAGCTGTGGTTGTTTACATTAGCATTATCTGATCGCTCGGAGAAACCACTGTTCCAAAAAGACTCAGCTTCTGAAGTTTTGCAGTCAGTTTGCAGACTTGGTACCTCTAGCCAATATAATTCACTCCAATTGTTAATGGATCGGACAGGTGCTGAAGATGGCTGAGCGTTTTTAACATCGGGTCCCTAATTACGACTGGATTCCCCATATGGACCATCTAGACAAGAGAGTGTTGTTACAGGAGGAGGTCGCAGTTCCGGAGCGACCCACTAGGTGTCATCCTCCGACAACCTTAGGCACCTCCTTACTCACAGTCTGAACTAATCATCATCCTATTGGTGTCACCTGTGTCTACCTGTTCACCTGTGTATTTATGCCCTCACTTCCCTGTGTTCCCTTCCTCAGTTTTCTCTGCTAGTTTCTCTATGCTCAGCAGTACTAATCAGTGTCTGATCAGAGAAGTATGTACAGGTACTCAAGAAGTGTTCTCCCTGTTTCTTTATTATTTCAGTCATAGTTACTATTTTGTATTTTGGCTGTCAGCTTGTTTTTGGAGACTTATTTGCTCCACCTTTCTTTTACGGAGTTATTGCCTACAAAAATACACCATTACTATTGCTCTCTATTGCAACAGTGATGGTTATTTCAATCACTGGATCATGTCAATGGAGGGTAATCTGCAGGGGATGATCCTGGAGAGTGATAAAATAAATGAAACTGCCCTGATCCTAAAGAATGTCAGGGAAATATTTTGTTTACACCAGAAGATTTTAATTGATCCCACTATAGCCATTGTGCGCAATCCAAGTGGTATGAGAAAGTACCAGTCAGGACTAAAGCCTTACTTTGATATAGCGCCATATCGATTTATTTTCCATGTCTGTCAAAAATCAGGAAGCCAATAGCGCTTTTCAATTCTGATGTCTATCAAAGGGCTGCACACAATGTTGTACAGTTGCATGTTGTGTGTAGCCCTATGTAATTAGATTAAGATAGCATGAATGTTTTAACCCTTTCCTGCAGTCAATGACCAAAAGCACCCTCACTGGCCTCATGGGGAATCATTTCATAATTAATAAAGATTATTTCTTTTTAAAGACAAAAATCTGGTGTTTCTATGTCAAACAGTTTTGTTATATTTCAGTGTTCTGTGATTTATATAAAGTGTAATATTGGGATGCAAACTAAACATTTTATACATTTCAACTCTATATCTGACATGGTACAGGTGTCTTCTTTTTTTAAGCCCATAACCATGTGTGTGAGGTGTATATTTTTGTTTCAAAGTAGATTTGTTTAAGACTACCAATAATCACTCTGTGTGACCCTGCTTTAGCCCACTGCAGTAAAAGGTTTTAAAAAGATGCAGTTATACTTTGTGACCTTCAAGGCTCGAATCCTGATTGATGCTCAAAACATGAACGCTACAATCACCATTAGTTCTAATAGTTGGCAGTATCCATTATCATACAGTATAAAGTTACACTGTAAAATGCAATATCTGAATCCTTTTGCTAAATGGACAATCACATTATTATTACATAGCCATGCAAATATGTAATGTAATGCTTGTAATGCCCCTTAGGGAAAAAGATTGCAGTCAGATTGTAGTTATACTGCAGTTAAAGTGCAGTATAACTGCAGTATGCTGCAAATACTACTTCCAAAATAACACTGTTTGTTTACTGCAGTAATTTTGTAGTGTAATTGCGGTTAGAGTGCAGTATAACTGCAGTACACTGTATAACTGCAGTACACTGCAGTTATTCTGCAATTACTGCGTCCAAAATACCACAGTCGACTGCAGTTACTGCACTTTTACTGATGTTTCAAAACTGCAATCTTTTTTTTGTAAGGGGCCGTGTGAGACTGTTGACTGTTTTGATGCAGACTTGTCTGTAACCTCCAGTTGCTGTATTAGCCGTTTACCAACTCAAAATAGTTTTCTTTTCCAACCACTCCTGTTTTAAAACTGAAGGATTTAAAGTATTTCAGGTTGAATATCAAACAACCCTGGTCCCTCACACAGTTCATTGGCGGGCTAGCAAACACAACAGCTGCTAGCTGCATTTCTTTAGTTTTTTATTTGAAAAAATGTTTGCTGCATTTCTCACTGGCTGGCTAGCAAGGTCACCAATTCAATATTTAAAAACATGTCTACATAGCTTATACATTCCTGAATTCATAAATAGTGTATTTGTTCATCTAAACAGCTGATGGTGAGAAGCTAATTTGAGCTAGTTAACAGGCAAACAAACAGATGAGACGCACTAGCAAGCAAACACTGATACATCATCTTACTTTGTGAACGTTCCCTTCTGTTGTATAGGCCTACTGCTTTCGGCAACTGTGCGTCTTTGTCAAAACATTTTCTAGTTATCAAATATAGTTTACAGGTTGTCAACAATCTAAGCCAACCCTGTCTGTTTTGCCGCATAGTTGCGCATGCGTCAGTTTTGTTGCTAAACAATCAACCAATCTATCGAGGAGAATTGTCTTTTCAGACCCACCTTTGTTTGACAACAGCTGAAAATCAGATAAGGGGACGGCCTGTACCAAAATGAACGAATGGCAGGGAACAACCGTCTTGTCAGTTTGGATAAGCCTAGTATGTTGATATTTGTTGCTCACTGCAAACATTTTTACTAAACAGTATGTTCTAAATAGTATTTAGTATGGTTAGTACATTTAGTAATATGGAGTACCCAAGGCTAGAAAGATCTTTCACAAAACAGACCAGTCCAGCTCACATAAAATATCTACAGTACATTACCAAAATATATTTATTTTCTCCATTTGACCATATATCTGAAAAATGTCATGGCTACGATGTCTGCACATAGCCATATTTGATTAATCTAGTCAATATTTGTATCTTTTTGAGAGACAATCCTTCAGAGGAAGCATCAAAAGTAGTTTTAGAGTGGTTCTATATCTCAAAGTATATGACAGATGGTTATCTACAGTATGTTGTCATAAAGTGCAAATTTAAACAAATATGAACTCTTACTGTATTCTTAATCCCATAAAATAATAAAAACGTTTTACTTTTGTTTTCTTAGAACAAAACAGCATCCAACCCTCAAATATGCGAGTACAACTTAAGCGCAACTTAATGTATTTCCACCGTCCCTTCCCAATGGGCTCTAAACATTACTTTCTTTACGCTAGACAGATATTCCAACTCTAGCAATTAATATGCTAAGTGGTACAATCCTTCACAATGTCACTTTTCATTTCCATCTTTCCGCGTTTAAACCCACGCTCCTCTGTAGGTCTCTGTGCAAGGTAAATATTTCTCAGTGACAGCGGTCTTTTTTCGTTGATGTTTTCACTGTTACCTGACCCAATGTTTTTACCCGTTGGTGACCCATAGGGGTTGAGCAGGATTCAGGGAGGACATACAGGATGACTACCTCAGAGAGTGTCTTTCCCAGTGAGCTGAAATGCATAGCCCCATAGCAAATGCCCTTTGACGCATGCAACCCAGCTGGGAAAACACCTTTCCTGCCACTCCTTAATGAGAACAAGCATGGTATATTATTTGAGCTCACAGAGTAGGGTTTCTGTGGAGACGTTATGTTGGTGGCTGACAGTACACATAGATGTTCCTAATGTGCCCCAAACTGAACATGTAACAGCCTTAGATATTAGCCTATAGCTTAGAAGAATTACAAAGTAGCATATGAAAACGTTGTCTTGTCTCCTTTAAGAACTGTTGCTATGAATGACTATTTGTGATGTTTGCAGGTGCAAATATCCTCTCTAGTCAACACATGATGTCACTGATTATTTGATGAATGAGTTTTCCTCCCGTACAGAGACGATGTTGAGCTTTGTGGATGACATCCTGTCTGGGGCCAAGTCTCCGTGTGTGATGCTTGGGGATATCCCTTTCCTCTTGACCTCCTCCATCAGTATGATCATTCGCTGCCTGGAGCCAGACACCACTTACATGTAAGTTGCTGTAACATTATCAATGGATGTTTATCTATTGTGTTCGAAATTAAGAGTTTATTTCCAAAACGTTATATATCCATTTTCAGAAATGTTGGTAAATTAGCTTTTATTGTTTTACAGTTGAAACAACAACAAAGTAGGAACCCCGCCTCTGTTCTGATAAAAAGCTGAGGGATGGGCCTGGAGAAATGTAACCACTCTCAGATTAATAGACAGAGCTATGAATGCAAGGACTGACCATCCATGATATCAAATGTATTGTTTTAACCATGTTTTGAGGCTATACAGTATTTGTTTACATTTACAGTGTTTACAAACATTGGAGAAAAATAAGCTTATATTGTGGGATCTCATGGGGTTTATGAAAAGATAAACAAGGTGCTTGACTCCATCTTACAGTATATCAACTTAAATTGGGTGCTGGATCCTCCGTATATAATCCAAAGAACAGAAATAGGACAGCACTCCGGTAAATAAACTTACATTGAAATATTTCTATTGATGGGGTGTGACAGTTGAACTAAGCTCATGAGGCATTTATAAGTTGTATTCTTCAAGAATCAATGGGTATATATCATTAATTTATAAGTCCAAAACTATATGTAGCAACTACAGATTGCCCCTTTAAAGAATTTATGAAAGAGATTGGTGTGTTTTTTCACTATCTAATCATGTCATGGAAATCTTATCACTTGATGGTTTAATTCAAGAGAGAAATAATCATGTTTTTTTGCAAAGCGCTATATATCCACCTCACTCTTAGAGAAATAAGTAGTACTGCTAGGTTTTACACAGTCAAATGTAACAAATAACTACATACAAACAAAAACTGTACAAATGATACATTTGTGACATCAATAGTATTATCTTTCTTTAAATGAATCAATACAGTAATATGAGATCTGTATGTAAATCATTTACATTTTACAGTTTAGTCATTTAGCAGATACTCTTATCCAGAGCGATTTACAGTTAGTGCATTCATCTTAAGATAGCTAGGTGAGACAACCACATATCACAGTCAATACAGTATACGAACATTCCATTCCAGCTAAACAATGGCTATATACACTAACAGTCAAAGGTTTGGACACACCTACTCATTCAAGGGTTTTTCTTTATTTGTACTATTTTCTACATTGTAGAATAAAAGTGAAGACATCAAAACTATGAAATAACACATATATAATCATGTAGTAACCTAAAATGTGTTAAACAAATCAAAATATATTGGAGATTTAAGATTCTTCAAATAGCCACCCTTTGCCTTGATGACAGCTTTGCACACTCTTGGCATTCTCTCAACCAGCTTCACCTGGAATGCTTTTCCAACAGTCTTGAAGGAGTTCACACATATGCTGAGCACTTATTGGCTGTTTTTCCTTCACTCTGCGGTCCAACTCATCCCAAACCATCTCAATTGGGTTGAGGTCTGGGGATTGTGGAGGCCAGGTCATCTGATGCAGCACTCCAGTTTTGATGTCTTCACTATTATTCTACAATGTAGAAAATAGTAAAAATAAAGAAAAACCCTTGAATGAAAAAAAACTAATTTTAATACCCACCTAAATATGTTAATACAAAATCTGAGAACATAAATATTTTACACACACATGAAGGTACCCATAAGCTATCAATTCTGGTGAAAAAACACAAATGCGAAAAATTGGTGGATATAGCACTTCAAATGGAAAATACTCTATCATCATTATCACCACTCAGATACAGTGAGGGAAAAAAGTATTTGATCCCCTACTGATTTTGTACATTTGCCCACTGGCAAAGAAATTATCAGTCTATAATTTTAATGGTAGGTTTATTTGAACAGTGAGAGACAGAATAACAACAAAAAAATCCAGACAAACGCATGTCAAAAATGTTATAAATTGATTTGCATTTTAATGAGGGAAATAAGTATTTGACCCCCTCTCAATCAGAAAGATTTCTGGCTCCCAGGTGTCTTTTATACAGGTAACGAGCTGAGATTAGGAGCACTCTTAAAGGGAGTACTCCTAATCTCAGCTTGTTACCTGTATAAAAGACACCTGTCCACAGAAGCAATCAATCAATCAGATTCCAAACTCTCCACCATGGCCAAGACCAAAGAGCTCTCCAAGGATGTCAGGGACAAGATTGTAGACCTACACAAGGCTGGAATGGGCTACAAGACCATCGCCAAGCAGCTTGGTGAGAAGGTGACAACCGTTGGTGCGATTATTCGCAAATGGAAGAAACACAAAAGAACTGTCAATCTCCCTCGGCCTGGGGCTCCATGCAAGATCTCACCTCGTGGAGTTGCAATGATCATGAGAACGGTGAGGAATCAGCCCAGAACTACACGGGAGGATCTTGTCAATGATCTCAAGGCAGCTGGGACCATAGTCACCAAAAAAACAATTGGTAATACACTACGACTGAAATCCTGCAGCGCCCGCAAGGTCCCCCTGCTCAAGAAAGCACATATACAGGGCCGTCTGAAGTTTGCCAATGAACATCTGAATGATTCAGAGGAGAACTGGGTGAAAGTGTTGTGGTCAGATGAGACCAAAATCGAGCTCTTTGGCATCAACTCAACTCGCCGTGTTTGGAGGAGGAGGAATGCTGTCTATGACCCCAAGAACACCATCTCCACCGTCAAACATAGAGGTGGAAACATTATGCTATGGGGGTGTTTTTCTGCTAAGGGGACAGGACAACTTCACCGCATCAAAGGGACGATGGACGGGGCCATGTACCATCAAATCTTGGGTGAGAACCTCCTTCCCTCAGCCAGGGCATTGAAAATGGGTGGTGGATGGGTATTCCAGCATGACAATGACCCAAAACACACGGCCAAGGCAACAAAGGAGTCGCTCAAGAAGAAGCACATTAAGGTCCTGGAGTGGCCTAGCCAGTCTCCAGACCTTAATCCCATAGAAAATCTGTGGAGGGAGCTGAAGGTTCGAGTTGCCAAACGTCAGGCTCGAAACCTTTATGACTTGGAGAAGATCTGCAAAGAGGAGTGGGACAAAATCCCTCCTGAGATGTGTGCAAACCTGGTGGCCAACTACAAGAAACGTCTGACCTCTGTGATTGCCAACAAGGGTTTTGCCACCAAGTACTAAGTCATGTTTTGCAGAGGGGTCAAATACTTATTTCCCTCATTAAAATGCTAATCAATTTATAACATTTTTGACATGCGTTTATCTGGATTTTTTTGTTGCTATTCTGTCTCTCACTGTTCAAATAAACCTACCATTAAAATTATAGACTGATCATGTCTTTGTCAGTGGGCAAACGTACAAAATCAGCAGGGGATCAAATACTTTTTTCCCTCACTGTAAATACGTAAAATATACTTAACTAACTTAACTAAGATATCTGAGAAAAAGACAACAACAAAAAAAGGAAAAGGGGAAATTTATTCATTTGAGGAATTGCACAATATGAAGATTGGTTAATGGATAATATCAAACTATCTAGCAATTCTTCTGAGGGTAAATGCAGATCCTGGGAAAGCATATTTCCTTGAACTTTTACACCGTGTTACAACACTACTGTGCATTGCACTGAGGGAAGCCCTGCCCTGGATGTTCAGTGGATGTGTACATACGTGTCGGTGTTATCCCATGGAAACACAGTCTACATGAACAACATCCAGTTTGTGCAGGGTAGAGCGTGGAATCACTCCCCAGTCATGTGTATGTACTTCTTTAAGGCAAGTGAAGGTTCAAATTGGGGTGTTTTAAATATGCTTCAGACAGCTGGGGAAGTAGCTCATGCTTTGGAACAGCTGGAAAGTACATTAACGGAGCACTTCATGCTAATAGCAGAAACAAGAATCACAAGCTCAAGAGATTAGGTGTGCAGACAAACATGACAGAGAAAGACCTTGTTCTTGACAAAATGTGCACTATTTGAGATATTATTTCAATATACATATTTTTCTTTTTTTTAAATCACAAAATTCAACATTTACCCTGCATTTACAGTGCCTACGGAGAGTATTCAGACCCCTTGACTTTTTCCACATTTTGTTAGATTACAGCCTTATTCAAAAATGTATTAAATCAATACCCCATAATGACAAAGCAAAAACAGGTTTTTAGAAATGTTTGCTAATTTATTAAAAATAAAAAACTGATATAACATTTATATAAGTATTCAGACCCTTTACTCAGTACTTTGTTGACGCACCTTTGGCAGCAATTACAGCCTCGAGTCTTCTTGGGTATGACGCTACAAGCTTGGCACACCTGTATTTGGGGAGTTTCTCACATTCTTCTCTGCAGATCCTCTCAAGCTCTGTCAAGTTGGATGGGGAGTGTTGCTGCACAGCTATTTTCAGGTCTCTCCAGAGATGTTCGATCGGGTTCAAGTCCGGACTCTGGCTGGGCCACTCAAGGATATTCAGAGACTTGTCCCGAAATCTCTCCTGTGTTGTTCTGGTTGTGTTCTTAGGGTCATTGTCCTGTTGGAAGGTGAACCTTCGCCCCAGTCTGAGGGTCCTGAGCACTCTGGAGCAGGTTTTCATCAAGGATCTCTCTGGACTTTGCTCCGTTCATCTTTCCCCTCTGTCCTGACTAGTCTCCCAGTCCCTGCTGCTGAAAAACACCCCCACAGCATGATTCTGCCACCACCATGCTTCACCGTAGGGATGGTGCCAGGTTTCCTTCAGACGTGACGCTTGGCATTCAGGCCAAAGAGTTCAATCTCGTTTTCATCAGACCAGAGAATCTTGTTTCTCGTGGTCTGAGAGTCTTTAGGTGCCTTTTGGCAAACTCCAAGCGGGCTGTCATGTGCCTTTTACTGTGGAGTGGCTTCTGTCTGGCCACTGATTGGTGGAGTGCTGCAGAGATGGTTGTCCTTCTGGAAGGTTCTCCCATCTCCACAGAGGAACTCTAGAGCTCTGTCAGAGTGACCATCCGGTTCTTGGTCACCTCCCTGACAAAGGCCCTTCTTCCCCGATTGCTCAGTTTGGCTGGGCGGCCAGCTCTAGGAAGAGTCTGGGTCGTTCCAAACTTCTTCCATTGTGTTCACTGTGTTCTTGGGGATCTTCAGTGCTGCAGAAATGTGTTGTTACCCTTCCCCGGATCTGTGCCTCGGCACAATCCTGTCTCGGAGCTCTACGGACAATTACTTCGACCTCATGGCTTTGTTTTTGTTCTGACATGCACTGTCAACTGTGGGACCTTATATAGACAGGTGTGTGCCTTTCCAAATCATGTCCAATCAATTGCATTTACCACAGGTAACTCCACATGTGTCAATCAAGTTGTAGAAACATCTCAAGGATGAGCTCAATTTCGAGCCTCATAGCAAAGGGTCTGAATACTTAAATAAGGTATTTCTGTTTTTAGTTTTTAATACATTTGGAAATGTTTCTAAAAACCTGTTTTTGCTTTGACATTATGGGGTATTGTGTGTAGATTTCTGAGGATTATTATTTTTTACATCCATTTTAGAATAAGGCTGTAACGTAACAAAATGTGGAAATAGTCAAGGTGTCGGAATACTTTCCGAAGGCACTGTATATTATAATGACTTCTAATGTTTATAAATAGCTCAATAATAAACCCTATGACGAACTATTTGAGAGGTCTTGTGCATTTTCACCTGAAAATAGGGGGGGAAATTATATCGTTGAAGTCGATATTAGGAAGAATCAATTCACTTTCCGGGAAACATGTGTTGTGACATGACTTACATTATTGTGATGACTATTATTTATTGAATAATTACCTACTATGTTTAATTGTTACTAGATTAAATTAATCATGTAACAATTAACTCATTAGGAATTAACGAGTTAACGTTTCCCGAATTAACTCTAAAGATATCTAGATATCTCTTATCATTTAACAGTCAATTATTAATCATTTACCTCATATCAGTCTCATTCTGAAATTCGTAGGCAATTTAAGTCTGCACAAACCCGGGTCTTACTGATCATTCCGTACCACACAAATTCATTAAATTATTTATTTACTAACTAATTTAAAATGATAACACAAGATACAAACACGTACACAGTATAGGTAGGGATTAGAAACGTATTACAATGAGAAAAATCACATTCCTATCTTCACGAAAACATTGTCTTCCTCCTTGGTATTTTCTACACAACGTAAAAGATGTAAACCTGATATACACAGTGTAAAAGCTCTTCAAGTCACAATGTTTTCGTTATAACGCCTTTATACCATTTTTAATGACATCACAAAATATACATTAATTTTCCATATTCCATTTCTCATTATTCTCAACGTTTGGATGTTGAAATATATTGTCCCAATGTTCATTGTTGGATGTTGAAGTTTTTGGGCAGCAAAAAGTATCTGAAACAAAGGCATTCCTTTCACCATACTAGAATGCCAGAGATAGATTATCCTCCTCTCTAATTTATGGCAGTATTAACGTGTCAGGACCGGCACAGCCCCCTGTGGGTAAGAGGGTCTGGTTGTTGTCGGCCATTTGCCAAACTGATGTGAGGCCTTTGATCCTCACCCAGGGAGAATCCTGACACGTGTGGAGTTAAGTGAGGTCATTGCCAGGTGTAATGAAAGCAGTTTATGGTTATTCTGTTTCTGTGCTACTGGACATTACAGTCTGTATTGCTCCGGTGGTTGTAGTAACGCAAGATGATATTGTGGTGATGTAAACTCACCCCTGAGGAAGTCCCATATGAGGTCAATGTTGTGCTGCCGTGGTGGCCAGTGTGTAATAACCGCATGGAACGCTTGACTGTGTGTTTAGGGTCAGTCGGTGTAATGAATTGGGCCATGCTCTGAGAGTTATAAGTTCCTCCGGCACCCCTCCACCTCCCCCCTCCCTCCTCTGGCACTCACACTCAGCTCCCTAACTCCACACATGCAGCCACTTACCTCACACACGCTCCATAAATGGGGTAGACACACTGAAAAGATTACACAAAGGAGGAAGGGAGAAAAAACCCTCAGATTTAGCACGTTGTCTCTTAGAATGGTTCTGATGTATAGGAATAGGAATATCCCAACCTAAAACATATGCACTTTATCTTTACATCATTTAGCTTCTGGTCAATCTCCTTTGTTGGCAGGCTATTCAGCACAGTTGTTACAACACGAAAATTCAGTTATTTTCAAAATATTTCCTTTTATCATTACATCTCTGTATGCCTGTGCTGTACAGTTAGTGAAACACTTGATTACTTCTTCAGAATATCTGTTCAAGTGTATCGCAAAATCTTTCAGTTCAGCTTTGAGAATTTAAAATACCAGCTCTGTAGGTTCCAAAAAGGAAAGCTAATTTTAAACATTACTTTAGTTATCTTATTGTCTTTACACCAGACAATGACCTCAGTGCCTTATTGGTCAAGCTGTATTGTATTGTATTCATAACCATGGATACATACAGTAAATGTATTTGGGTAGACACAATACAGTATTTCTCAGATACCACTGCAGGTGGTAGTTGTTCATGTTTTCCTTCCACTAGATGGCGATATACTTCAAGTAAATGTTAACAACCACGCACTTGATTAGTAAATGTATCCTATTGTCAGATTTTTATTAGCAGTTCTATCACATTACAACAGTCAATCAGAAAATGTAATGATTTTGTCACAATAACATTGAATGCATCTAATATCCACCACTTAATTCAGGGTCATTTTCATTTGTCTTTTCAAAGCCTGAAACACTAGTTAGCAGTTGCACACATTATTGCAGTAGCATGCACTCCCATTGCATTGAACTAACACTAGTCATATGTCTTGGTCTACAGGTTTAGGCTCTGGGCAGTGGACAATACAGGCCGTCGCTCCAGCCCTAGTGAGGTCACCATCAAGACCCCCTGCCCTGCTGTGGATGACGTCAAAGCACAAGGTGGGCTTTCTCATGCATGGATGGACAGTTTCTGTATCTGTATCTTGGTTTTTAGACTAATATTCTAACAGTAGTTACTCATCTGAAAACTTGTAGAGACACACGTCTTGTCTCCACATACAGTACTGAGATCAGATCTATGTTGTTGCAGAAATTTCAGACAAGATCTACAACTTGTTCAATGGTTACACAAGTGGCAAGGAGCAGCAGACAGCCTACAATACGCTGATGGAACTGGGCTCTCCCACCCTGCACCGTGTGCTCTATCACTACAACCAGCGTTACGAGAGCTTCGGAGAGTTCACCTGGAGATGCGAGGACGAACTGGGGCCCAGGTATCTACACTCTCTCTCTCTCAGTCCAAGAATATCATGGCATATTGGTTAGGAAAGCACAACTACCGCCCGCCAAACTGTCTAGTAGCATCACAGTCCTTCCCTACCTGGGTGGTTATTGAGACTCTTGACATTTTAAGTCATTTTGGATGTTTTAAACACAGACTGGTCTATAATAGATTCCAAATACAGGCTTTGATTGTAGACATAGTTTGCGTAAATTGGGTAAAGTGGAAATTCATTCAAACTGATTAGAGCCAATTCTACCTCTGACATCCGTCTGTCAATTTACCACAAGCAGGAAGACCCCCTATCCCCTTACTGGTTACTCAGTGCAGATAAGTATTATAATGTGAAATTGTAGCTAAATGTTTTATAAACAGACCCATGTGTCCGAAATAAAATGTATACGTACAGTTGCTGGTAGATGCACGGTGAAGCAGGTGAAACTGATTAAAACGTCTTTGACTACAAACTCCGAATCAGGGCCTTAGTTTCAAATTAAAGGTTGTTTTTAATCGAGCCCATATTGGAAGGGTTGATGTAATTGGTTTGCTTCTGAAGTGTTCCATTAAAATACACTTACATTAACAGCCCCCAATTTTCAGAGGGATGATTCATGTCAAGAAGCACCAAAGTAACTACATTTGAGGTGAGGGTCGGGGGACTATAAACATGGGTTTAGATTAACCTAGTAATCAATTGGACATTATCTCGCTAAACACCATTATAGTGTTACGGAGGGTGGCTGCACTGGCTGGGTCATTCCACAAAAAGAGTGCCTTTTGTGTCCCTTTTATATTTTAAGTAGAAATTGTGCACCAATATTGAATTTTAAAAGCCTGTTATATTAAATGTAGTGCCCTTTAATATAGACCACATGGAATAAAGACTTGCTAAAGTGCCACACTTCATCATTTTCACATGTCTCTCTGTCAACCATGTGTCACTTCTAGGAAGATTTCAACCAGTGGAGGTTCCTCAGAGGAGGAAAGGGAGGACCATTCTCCTCAGTGAATTTCATAAAAATAAAAATTGTGAAGCATTAAAAAAGTTATCCTTTTTATATAAAACAGTACTAAATATATTAATGTCACCAAATAATTCATTAAAACACACTGTTTTGCAATGAAGGTCTACAGTACCCTCAACAGTACTCTGTAGGGTAACACCATGGTGTAGCCAGAGGACAGCTAGCTTCTGTCCTCCTCTGGGTACAATGACTTCAATACAAAACCTAGGAAGCTGATGGTTCTCACCCCCTTCCATAGAATTACACAGTAATTATGACAACTTGCGGAGGAAATCCTCCAACCTATCAGAGCTCTTGCAGCATAAACTGACATGTTGTCCACCAAAGTATCAGAGAATGACTCTAGTACTGAAAGCATAAACTACAGCTAGCTAGCACTGCAGTGCATATAATGTGGTGAGTAGTTGTCTCAAACAATAGTTGAACAGTTTTGAACAGATTAATTTCTTCCAAAATTAAGGAGAAGCAAGAGAGCGAGAGAGAGAGCGAGAGAGCTATATTTCATAGTATATATTTTTTCACTTTCACTTACTGAGCTAACGTCAAATGCAGCTAGCTAGTTTGGCCAACTCAAAAACCCGGTTCAAACAGAGAGGGATGCTATGTTAGCTAGCTGGTTATGGCTATCCAACACTGGAACTCTTCCAAGTCAAGGTAAGCTTTTGGTTTTATTAATTTATTGCCACCAGAGCCCACCAGTGTAACTGCTAAACTGTTTGCTGCTGACTGTACACTGTACTGCATGATTGTAGCGGGTTTAATAACGCGTTAGTTCTAGTAGCTATGTTGACTATTACGTGACAACGATGTAGGCTGTGTGTAGCGGTTAGCGGTCATGATATGAAGGTTTGGCTTGGAAAGGTTTTTTTGCCAGGTCACAGACAGGTGATGTGTTGTGCGCTGAAGTCCACAAGTGAAGAGAAAAGGTGAGAGGAGGAGAGCGCGTAGATAAATACCTACCTTTTAAGTTGCTCCATACTTTAAGACTATTGTTAGCTTGTTAGCATGTACGGCAGGATTTTCCATATTGTTATGGTGTGTTGTGATTGTGTAAGCCTGCTGTCTCAGGAAATGTCATTGTGCTATAGGTGTTACTGAAGAGATGTATTCGTAATGTAATCTTTAGAATTAGAATAAGAATAACATGATTAGACACAGTTTGCAATGGACCTTATGTGTTGGGTGCGTTGCCCTTGTAGCTTTATTGGAGATCCCCCATCACTTGTTTGCTTGTTCCATACCCCCTGCCTCTCTAGCAGTTCTGAAAGGAAAAATGTACAATTTGAATCAAAACAATGAGATTTTGGTTTCCACACACACCAATACAAAGCATACAACATCGCCTGTAACAGGGCTTGTCTCCAGAAATTACTTTCCTTGTTATGAAATCCTCCAATTCACTGGGGTTACCCTGTCACAAACAATGTGGACCATTTAAATGCAATTTTCATTAGCTAGTCAAAATACAGATAATAGTCACCCGCTCGGCCCCTGACTAAATGTAAACTTGTTTCAGCAGAGTAAACAATGTGTTAAAATAAACTGGTGAAGCAATGGATCTATCTTTATAAAGCATGGGAAATATTCCACTCCCGGCTTTTGTACGTATCATATCTCACTGACGAGTTAGGTTGGTCCCTGTCAGAGAACGTTCTTGTTTCTTTTTCCTGCATAATCGTGTGATGTTCAAGCCAAACAAACTGACAAAGTCTGTCTCCCGAGCCCGACACTTCTCTCCATGTCCCGATCTTGTCATCACTACAGGACTACCCATCGCTAAAGGCATGAGGCTGGTTGTTGACTTAGAAATGTTAGATGTTGGCTTGGTAGGAGAAAATCTTTATTGAGGCTGCTTGTTGACTTAGAAATGTTAGATGTTGGCTTGGTAGGAGAAGACCGTTATTTTTATGACACATCCTAATCAGGCAATTGCCTGCGATGTTAAGTATTGTTATGGTTAGATTTCACTTGATGACATGATAAGTGGAGCTCATGTTGTTGTGATTTTTCATTTTTCTGTTTAAAAGGGCCTAATTTCATCAAGGCTGTTTAGAAGATATAGGGATTTTCCTCAGACATTACCACAATTACTCTTCCATTAGCTCATGTTGTGGACTTTCTTACCAACAGATATACCCCATTGTAATGAGTACTCAGGGAGAAAAAAGGTGTAGATTCACACGCAGAGCGCGGCTGGTGTTTATTTAGCCTTCGCAGAAGGCAGGAATCGTGGTCACAGGCAGGCAAACAGGCAGGAGAATCAAAAACTAGGACTGAAGGCTATAACTGGTTCTAACAAACGAGCTAGGAAAATACTTAGTAGTCAAAACGAACAATACCTCACAAGGCACAAACAGAATGAACTGAACTAAATAAGGAGCTGATGAGTAACTAACACAGGTGAAATCAATGAACAAAAATGAAAGACAGGGCTACGTTCAAGAACACAAAGAAACAGGGCTACGTTCAAGAACACAAGGATGACTAAGAAAAATAAATACAGAACCTTACACCGATATCTGGTTGTTGGGAATGGACGGCAATGCATGTGCTAGTACTGTACCATGAAAGTCCAACAGTTTACTTTCATGCAACACATGAAATTGCATGCATTCATAAAATACATTTAAATGGACAATAAAGTTATAATATCACATCATATCGTGTATCTGTGTAACACAGAGACAGAGTCGTCATAGTGGTGGTTTCCTAGCATCATGGAGGCTCTCTTGATCCAGTCCCTGGTCTTTGTGACTGTGGCTGTCTGAGGAATGCAGCTGATTGTTTCCTCTCCGATCAGTGAAAAGCAGTGAAGTCAAGGAGATTTGAAAGAGGGGCCCTGACAGAGTGAGATATCTCCAAAATGTACCTTGGAAATGTGAGGCCATTTTCCACTTCTAGTCATGCTGGGATTTATGGTGACAACCGTTGCTATTTGGAGCCCAAATAGTTATTTATTGGAACATGTAAGCATAACAAACCTCAAGGTTTTTGTTTTAAGCAAATAAACATCCAAATTCCTTAAAACACTGAAATGTGGCAAGGTATTAGAAAAAAAATACTGTAGCGACACGCTTGGACAGTTGTGTGGTTTCACGGGGTCCAGCATGCCAGTCTCCCTACTGTCTGCCAATCAAGGTAATGCCTGGAATGTGTCAGTGCCAGGCATCCTTGTGGTTGGTGGAACAGCGGGGGGCTGGACACTACATGTCTGGTATATTGCCATGCTTGCATTGTTATCCCTCTTTTCATGTCCCGACAGTGAGTTGAATACCTGTTATTGTTATATCAGATTTATTTGCCGTAGGCTACAGCCAGACAGTAGCCTGTGTGAGTTCTGGGTTAATCAACCGTTCATTTCGAGAACTAGGGAACTGTTGTTGACATTCTCTCATTTATGATCTATCGAGGTCATTACAATACATTTTTGAAGAATTATAGAAATGACAGCATCCCTACTACAGACACACTGATTATTTAGTAAAGACTCTATGTCTGTGAATTTTTACATCGTTCAAAGTTATATTATTTTCTCAAGAGTTCTCTGCAGATGATAAATTGTGGGTATTTAAGCTGTTGTTCTGCCCTATTTGACTAGCATCTGCAAATGGGATGTTGCTTAGTGTCTCTATGTAAACATAACATAGGCTACAGACCAGATGAGGCTGGTGGGAGGAACTATAGGAGGACGGGTTCAATGGTTGGAATGGAATCAATGTTGTTTCCATGTGTTTGATGTGTTTGGTACCATTCCATTGATTCTATTCCAGCCATTACAATGAGCCTGTCCTCCTATAGCTCCTCCCACCACCCTCCTCTGCAACAGACATAGTAGTATCCACTATTCAAGAAATAACTTATGAACCTGCCCCTACTTTGAAATACAAAATCTAAATATGAGGATGAATAATAATACAGTCACCGCTTAGCTTTCCCCTATTGAATGCAAATACATGGAATTCTGACACTCCATTACAGTATGTCCATGAAACAGTGATATTGTCCTTTTTTTGGAAAGTCTCACCCTGTGACACTTAAAGCACACTAACAAGCTGTCCTCATTCCACACTGTGTCTGGTCTAACAACAAAACAATGAGTCAATCAGATGAGTCACAATGATTAGCAAGTTAAGAGGTACAGTATGTCCGAAAACATTGGATTCTGTGGATATTCTTAGGAATGCTTTGAATGTAGGAGTTGGGAGGGATGACAGTATTAAGAGAGAATAATGTGCTTTTCATTAATAACAGAGTATGAGTCTACCCCAAAACGTCTTGTGTGTCGACAAAAATGTCTCACTATTTACATTGCAGTTTGGTGGTCCTGGTTTGGCCAGTGAGTGAGGTGAAGCCATGTCTGAGGATTGAGACACTCTTTCCATCCTGTACAGTTACTGTTTCTGTCAGCCACTTATCCTGGAGACAGCTTCATAACTTTCAGTGGCTGCGTTTACACAGGCAGCCCAATTCAAATATTTTTTACGAAAAATTGGTATTTTGACCAATCACATCAGATCCTTTCACGTCAGATATTTTTCAGAGCTGATCTGATTTGTCAAAAGACCAATTTGTGAAAGAAATATCAGAGTTGGACCACCTGTGTAAATGCAGCCAATGTCGTCACTGTTATCTGAACATGGGTAGACCCTGTACAGGTTATGAAATGGATGAATAAAAGTAAACTATTGACCTTAGAAGTTAATCAATTATTTATTCCACCTCATGCCCAGTCTCCTCCTGCAGGGAAGATGTGTATTGTGATGTAGTGTAAAAATAATGGTGATGACGCAACGTGTGATTTATGAGTGACCTGCTCTATCCAACGTTTGATTTGCATCGTTTAAGGTGAGAACACGAAATACTCAGATTTGAACTCAACCCAGACAGAATTCCATAATTTGTATATTAGGTATTTCCATCAATCTTACTTTTTCTTCTTGTTCTTTTGAGATAATTCTACAAGAAATTCGAGATCCACAATAGGCGAAAGAGCGCTACTGGCCGCCCCCAGGCGCATTTGTTATTGTTTTTGTTTTGAGTATATACAGTTCCTTGCAAAAGTATTAATCCCCCTTGGCGTTTTTCCTATTTTGTTGCATTACAACCTGTAATTTAAATTGATTTTTATTTGGATTTCATGTAATGGACAGACACAAAATAGTCCAGATTGGTGAAGTGAAATGAAAAAAATTACTTGTTTCCAAAAATTATACAAAATAAATAATGGAAAAGTGGTGCATGCATATGTATTCACCCCCTTTGCTATGAAGACCCTAAATAAGATCTGGTGCAACCAATTACCTTCAGAAGTCACATAATTAGTTAAATAAAGTCCACCTGTGTGCAATCTAAGTGTCACATGATCTCAGTATATATACTGAAAGGCCCCAGAGTCTGCAACACCACTAAGCAAGGGGCACCACCAAGCAAGCGGCACCATGAAGACCAAGGAGCTCTCCAAACAGGTCAGGGACAAAGTTGTGGAGAAGTACAGATCAGGGTTGGGTTATATAAAAATATCAGAAACTTTGAACATCCCACGGAGCACCATTAAATCCATTATTTAAAAATGGAAAGAATATGTCACCACAACAAACCTGCCAAGAGAGGGCTGCCCACCACAACTCACGGACCAGGCAAGGAGGGCATTAATCAGAGAGGCAACAAAGAGACCAAAGATAACCCTGAAGGAGCTGCAAAGCTCCACAGCGTAGATTGGAGTATCTGTCCATTGGACCACTTTAAGCCGTACACTTCACAGAGCTGGGCTTTACGGAAGAGTGGCCAGAAAAAAGCCATTGCTTAAAGAAAAAAATAAGCAAACACGTTTGGTGTTTGCCAAAAGGCATGTGGGAGACTCCCCAAACATATGGAAGAAGGTACTCTGGTCAGATGAGACTAAAATTGAGCTTTTTGGCCATCAAGGAAAACGCTATGTCGGGTCGCAAACCCAACACCTCTCATCATCCCGAGAACACCATCCTCACAGCATGATGCTGCCACCACCATGCTTCACTGTGGGGATGTTTTTCATCGGCAGGGACTGGGAAACTGGTCAGAATTTAAGGAATGATGGATGGCACTAAATACAGGGAAATTCTTGAGGGAAACCTGTTTCAGTCTTCCAGAGATTTGAGACTGGGACAGAGGTTAGGTTCACCTTCCAGCTGGACAATGACCCTAAGTATACTGCTAAAGCAACACTCAAGTGATTTAAGGGGAAACATTTAAATGTCTTGGAATGGCCTAGTCAAAGCCCAGACCAAAATCCAATTGAGATTCTGTGGTATGACTTAAAGATTGCTGTACACCAGTGGAACCCATCCAACTTGAAGGAGCTGGAGCAGTTTTGCCTTGAAGAATTGGCAAAAATCCCAGTGGCTAGATGTGCCAAGCTTATAGAGACATACCCCAAGAGACTTGCAACTGTAATTGCTGCAAAAGGTGGCTCTACAATGTATTGACTTTGGGGGGGTGAATACTTATGCATGCTCAAGTTTTCTATTTTTTTGTCTTATTTCTTGTTTGTTTCACACATTTTTTTATTTAGCATCTTCAAAGTGGTAGGCATGTTGTGTAAATCAAATGATACAAACCCCCCAAAAATCAATTTTAATTCCAGGTTGTAAGGCAACAAAATAGGAAAAATGCCAAGGGGGTGAATACTTTCGCAAGCCACTGTAAGCATCCAGCATCGTGGTAAAAAAGAATCGTAGTACATACACTGCTGTGCGTGTAATGATGTGCAATGATATCAGACGGGAAAAAACAGTGTTTGTTGTTTGAAGTAACGTCTTTGTTGTTGTAATATTGCAAACTGTTGTGGAAGTTTCACCCACCCATAGATATAGGTTTCACCGCTATGGATTCTAGCTTTAAGACATTTTATTTTGTGTTATGTACTGTTTGTCCTTAGAAACAATTTGATTTGAGGTAAATTATGTATATTAATAATGTGTTAACAATCATTATGTCATAATTACCAATAGTTATCCATGGTAAGACACCTGTACATTTCATGCCTATACTATGTAGCACTGTGGCAGGTGCAATGGACCGTAGACTTCCATTCAATACTTTCATTCAATACTTAAAGTAGTTTGCTGAGGAGTGTTGTTTTGTGTTGTGTTCCTTTGCAGGAAAGCAGGTCTGTTCGAACCCTAATCACCATTATTGGAACCTGATTTCAAGGTAGTGTGTGTTTGCTGAGGAGTGTTGTGTTCTTTTGCAGGAAAGCTGGTCTGATTCTCTCCCAGCTGGATGACCTGAGTGGCTGGTGCAGGGGTCTTCTCCAGGAGCCCAAGATTGGCCTGCGCAGGATGTCCCTCAAGTACCTGTCCTGCCGCTACACAGACACCAAGGCCTTTGGTCTCAACTGGGTAGACCTGGGTCAGGATGTGCGAAAGGCCTGCGACGAACAGAACCTGCCTGTCATGTACAATGATTATGGGGAGCCCAAAGAGCGTTGAATGTCACACAGCAAATAATGGTTCTTGAGGAGTTGGAAGTGTGGAATTGTGCTTTTGGGATTATCATCATGTCTGCTTTTTTATTATTGTGTGTTCTAACCATTATTTATTGTTATAGGAACCTGATTTCAAGGTAGGGTGTGTTTGAGAGGTGAGGAGGGTTTATTTAAACAGTTAGAGCAAGGTATAACAATAATGCACATGTACAGTAACCAAAAGTGTACATGTACCTTTCTCAATGCTTAATTGCATTTAGACAGCACTTTTCATTACTTTTTGGAAGTTTGGAAGTTGCACCAACAATCCCGAACCCCAAAATGTATATATTATGATTATGAAGATTCTGTTATTTACTGTAACATGTTTAATGTAGTATTCAAGTATAAATTCATTTGTAAGCTGTTGTATGTAGACAGGCAGTATATACATTAGTGGTCATTTCAGAAGGTTGGGAGGTCACGTACAGTGTGGCTCTAAATGTTAAAAGGTAAAGTTGCCAAACCCAGTATTTTCTACATCAATGAATTCCTAATCATTCTGAAATCAACAAATGGCGTACATAGCTATCTTTGAATCAGCATTTCTATTACAAAATGAAAGATAACAGCAAATCAATGTTTTATATTGTTAATCTGTAGTATGTTAATATATTTAAACCTATCATACTGTATGTGTCTTAAGGATATACATGATGTGATCCTGTAAAAACACATATGTCTCAACTAACATGCCAGTGTTTGATACCTCTGTTTTACTATAATAGGTTTTCATACATTTAAAACAATAGCATTTCAAAGCAGCACACACTTGCAATTAATATAAACCAAATGCTGACTGTTTTCTTGAAAAAACTTTTAGGCTCCTCACACACTTTGATAATGCAGTAGTTATCCCCATAACATGGACTTGAAAACAAATGCTTGTAGATATTTTCATAGGTTCGCCAATGCATTAAGTAACAGCACAGTACAGTGGTTAGGTTCTGTAAATATTGTATTACACATTATTTTTATTTTAACATTGATAACAGTGGGCCTCAGCTGTAAGGAGATGTCTTTCATTATGAGAAAGCCATTGGTTGATATTGTTAGGTAGGCTTTTTTTGTTTCAATTTGCACATGAGAGGTGTGAGCATTCATTATGTATACTTGTTTTGTGTATGTTTGCATTATTTTTATTCTGAGACTGTTTCCCAAAATAATGGAGAGGTTTGTTCTATCAATACAATGAAGTGGAATACAAAAATGGACAGATCAAAATGCTTAACAAATGTAATTATCCATCAGAAGTGCATCAGAATTGTTAAAATACACAACATAAAGCTGATGAAAACTAAAGCTGATGAAAACTAACTAAAATCTGCATGTTATACTATTATGTCTATGTGGCTAATCTAATGTTCCCTTTTTCACTTTGAACTTTGCTATTTCAAAGAATAATAAAGAATATATTATGAAATGTGGAATGTTGGATATTCCCGCCTAAAAGTTCCCTAGTCAGTCACCACATCTAGGCCTAGTTCATTTTTAGCCAGTTAACTGAAGTCAATGTCACACAGATTGGAATGTTTCTTAGGGATTGTAGAGCCTCAAACTTGGTGGTTTAAACCAAATAACAACGCCAAAAGACATGTAAAGGCTCAGCTCAGCTCCTCACTTATACACTGAGTTTACAAAACATTAGGAACACCTTCCTAATATTGCATTGCACCCCCTTTTGCCCTCAGAACAGCCTCAATTCGTCAGGACATGGACTACAGATGTGAGTGCTACGGGTCGATAGTCATTTAGACAGGTTACCTTGGCGTTCTTGGGCACAGGGACTATGGTGTAATCTGTGATAGTTTGCAAGCCCTGCCACATCCGACAAGCATCAGAGCCGGCGTAGTAGGATTCGATCTTAGTCCTGTATTGATGCTTTGCCTGTTTGATGGCACATCGGAGGTTGTAGCAGGATTTCTTAGAAGCGTCCGGATTAGTGAGAACTCTCCATGCATTACTTTTAATGATGATAAAGACAATTTCAGCATTAGCCAGGAGAAAAGAGTGGAATCTATCATTCTTGGGGAGACACACAGTCTGTTGGCTTTTGTTGTGTACTGTACTGTAGTATATGGGAGAGAGTTCTCTTACCTACTTGTCCATGTTTAAGCCTTGGTGTTCATTCATGGGCAGTGAAATGCTTACTTACAAGCACTTAACCAACAATGCAGTTTTTAAGAAAATAAAAAGTGTCACGTTTCTGGCTACAGAGAGCGTGATCACATAGTCATCCGGAACAGCTGATAGTCTCATGCATGCTTCAGTGTTGCTTGCCTTGAAGCGAGCATAGAAGTTATTTAGCTCGTCTGAAAGAGCAGGTGTTCCTAATATTTTGTGCACTCAGTGTATATCCTTAGGGGCACAAGATGTATGCAAGATACTAAAGAGCTAAATGCCTTCTATGCTCGGTTCGAGGCAAGCAACACTGAACCATGCATGAGAGCACCAGCTGTTCCGAATGACTGTGTGATCTCGCTCTTCATAGCCAATGTGAGTAAGACCTTTAAACAGGTTAATATTTTCAAGGCCACGGGGCCAGACGGAATACCAGGACGTGTACTCAGAACATGCGCTGACTAGCTGGCAAGTGTCTTCACTGACATTTTCAACGTATCCCTGACCTGGTCTGTAATACCAACTTGTTTCAAGCAGACCACCATAGTCCCCATGCCCAAGAATGCCAAGGTTACCTACCATAGCACTCATATCTATAGCCATGAAATGCTTTGAAAGGCTGGTCATGGCTCATATAAACACCATCATTTTATTTTTTTGTCATTTAGCAGATGCTCTTATCCAGAGCGACTTACAGTTAGTGAGTGCATACATTTTTCATACATCATCCCAGACTTACGGTTAGTGAGTGCATACATTTTTCATACATCATCCCAGACACCCTGGATCCACTCCAAATCTCTATTGCACTCCACACTGCCCCCACCCACATGGACAAAAGGAATACCTACACTACCGTAAGCAGAGTTGCAAAGAAAAAACCATATCTCAGACTGGCCAATAAAAAGAAAAGATTAAGATAGGCAGTCTGAGATATGGCTTTTTCTTTGCAACTCTGCCTAGAAGGTCAGCATCCTGGAGTCGCCTCTTCACTGTTGTTGTTGAGACTGGTGTTTTGCGGGTACTATTTAATGAAGCTGCCAGTTGAGGACCTGTGAGACACCTGTTTCTCAAACTAGACACTCTAATGTATTTGTCCTCTTGCTCAGTTGTGCACCGGGGCCTCCCACTCCTCTTTCTATTCTGGTTAGAGCCAGTTTGCGCTTTTCTGTGAAGGGAGTAGTACACAGCGTTGTACGAGATCTTCCGTTTCTTGGCAATTTCTCGCATGGAATAGCCTTCATTTCTCAGAACAAGAATAGACTGACGAGTTTCAGAAGAAAGTTATTTGTTTCTGGCCATTTTGAGCCTGTAATCGAACCCACAATTGCTGATGCTCCAGATACTCAACTAGTCTCAAGAAGGCCAGTTTTATTGCTTCTTTAATCAGCACAACCGTTTTCAGCTGTGCTAACATAATTGCAAAAGGGTTTTCTAATGATCAATTAGCCTTTTAAAATGATAAACTTGGATTAGCAAACACAACGTGCCATTGGAACACAGGACTGATGGTTGCTGATAATGGGCCTCTGTACGCCTATGTAGATATTCCATTAAAAATCAGCCATTTCCAGCTACAATAGCCATTTACAACATTACCAATGTCAACACTGTATTTCTGATCAATTTGATGTTATATTAACTTTTGAACGGTAGTGTATGTAAGAATGCTGTTCATTGACTACAGCTCAGCATTCAACAACATAGTCCCCTCCAAGCTCATCACCAAGCTCAGGACCCTGGGACTGAACACCTTCCTCTGCAACTGGATCCTTCACTTCCTGACGGGACGCCCCCAGGCGGTGAGGGTAGGCAACAACACATCCACCACGCTGACCATCAACACGGGGGCCCCTCAGGGGTCTGTGCTTAGTCCGCTCCTGTACTCCCTGTTCACCCACGACTGTGTGGCCGCGCAAGACTCCAACACCATTATCAAGTTTGCTGACGACACTACGGTGGTAGGACTGATCACCGACAATGATGAGGCAGCCTATAGGGATGAGGTTAGAGACCTGCGTGGAATACATCCTTTCACACTCACCACACACGCTGCTGCTGTCTATTATCTATCTTGTTGCGTAATTACCCCTACCTATATCTACATAGTTACCTCAATTACCTCGTACCCCTGTACATCAACTCGGTACTGGTATTTCCTATATATAGCCATGTTATTTTTTACTCATTATTCTTATTCGTTATTCACTGTGTATTTATTCCTCGTGTCACTATTTCTTTTTTTTATTAAAAAAAAAAAATCTTTATCTTTATCTTGTTGGAAAAGGACCCGTAAGTAAGCATTTCTTTGTTAGTCTACACCTGTTGTTTACAAAGCATGTGACAAATATCATTTTATTTTAGATGCATATAGTATGTGTTCCCCTTATGTTCAGAGGGGTGTGGAGGTCCAGAAACAGTGAGAAAAAAATCAGTGTCAGACAAATTTACGGTTTATTCAACATCAAGTGTAAATTACAGTGTAATATCACACATAACAAGATTACACAAAATCTGTATGGAATATTTCTTGAGAACTGCTACATCTAACAATAACTCTCTAAGCAGAAAGTGTTAAGTTAGGTACCTATGATATGCATAAATGTGTATTATGTGATATGATGTTATAATACTGTAGTCCTCTGTAACTACATCTATGAAATTAGAGATTGCCCAAATATATTATTCTATACAAGTTAGTCGTCTTTACAGATTAGTTATTGTGTTGGAATCCTAAAAGCTACAATATTGAAACACAGTTTTTATTTTTGTCTAAGAAGAGATTACCTTCATTGCTCCCTAATAGGAAAACAAAATTGAAATATATCATGTTAAGGGGTAAAGTTCATCTGTTGTTGTTTCATTGTGAGCCAGCCTTGGCCCTGTTCGCACATAACGATCCATCATTCATAACAGTCCTGCTTCCAAGTATTTGGCTTTGCTCTTGTTCTCCTCCGCGTTTGGATCACGGCAAGTGCATTCATCCTGATCACAGTCGGCCCCAAACGGAATGACCTGTCAATCAGTCAAGTAACCAGGGGATTAGAAACAAAACAAATCTCAAGAGACAATAAAATCACAACCAGGGGTAATTTCCCCAACTTAACCAATACATACACAAGGTAATAGCATACGTTTAACAATGCAATAAACTTCAAACTATGCCCATAAGAAGCCAGTTGTTTGTCCTACCTATCCAATAGTTTGCATAGTATTATATGTGTGAGCTCTACACGTTTCATTTCTTCATAATTTCAAAGAGAAACAAATGTCTCCAGAGAGATAAATGAAGGGAGTGATGTCAAATGGTTCACCATGGACTCAACGGTGAGAAACCTTGAGTATCGGGGGAGGGAATGCACCACAGAGGTGAACGGATGAACACATGTTAAGAATCAACAACAGGGTTGCCAGGTCTTGTCTAGGAAGCAAGCCATCACCACAGGTTGCAAAATAAACTCAGATGCCCTGCAAAGCAGTCTGTTGCAAGAAATGTAAACATGAGAGGCTAGCTAAATGCCAAGGCTTGCCTAGCATTGATTTCACTGATGTTTAATGGAGGTAATAGTTTTATTGAAGACTTAGCAACTGTTCCAGAAGGTTAAGAAGAGAAACACAGATCAGAGACTGCTCTCTCCCATTAAATGTGTGTTTGTTTGGCAACAAAGTGTTTCCTAAGCCCTATGTTGGTTCATTGATGGAGGCAGTGGTGAGCCAAATTATATAGTGCACTATGTAGGGAATAGGGTGTCATTTGGGACTAAACTATACTCTGCTGCTTTTGCTTTGTTCTAACAACCTCTGGACAACACGGGCTGGATGTTTTTCCTGCTTGCGTCAAACAAAAGCCAAATCTTGGACTGTTTTGTATGTACTTCTGAGTAGTTGCTAACCAGTGTTTATCATGACTTCTCAAAACTGCTTTGAAAATGGAATAAAATGTGTTTTAGATAACTAATTAATTGAATGAATGAATTGCACTGTACAAAAATGTAGAGCACATCGAGGCTCATTACACGTCTATGCTTCAACTGGAAGTGAGTGGACTGAGTTGACTTCCTAGTCTACTGTCCAAGTCTTCTGCTGCCAGCTTGGACCTTGGTCCCAAAACCAGACTCTACAAATCAAAGTGGCCAATCGGAGAAGTGCCTTGGAGACCAGAGGCGTTTCCATGGGCTGCATAAACACCAGTGCTCCACAGTTCCGCTGGATCCACAGTGGCAGGATGCTGTCGCTCACGGTTTATTTCACTTTCTCAGAGCCTGATAGTTTAACTGGTGTTTTACAGTTGCAGAAGACCACGGACACCTGGCCTTCCCCTCATAAAAGACTATGTAGCTGCTGATGTATTTATGACAGGCACTCCATTGCTGAGCTTACTTACAGTTTTTGCCCATTGCTTACACACTAAAACCGAATGCTTAGACCAAAGCCTCAATACCTAAACTTCTTGTAGCATACCTTAAACACAGTGTAACCATAGCTTAAACACAATGTCAACTTTGCACTTTGTTTGCAATTCTGTAACACACTTATTGCGAAACACTACACACGTTTTCTTACATTAGACACTTTGTTCAAAAATGAAATCACCTGTTATCATTGGGAAAACACTCTGTTCAAAATGCAAAACTCATCTGGCAATTGTATGCACTTACATACACACCTGAAAACACTTGCACAGAAAACAGAACACCAATCAGTCTGAGCCTTAGCACTACAAATAGGCCTCAGGTAAGCAATTTTTAGAACTTTGCAAGCATGGAGGCAATAAGAGTCAGAGTAAGAGGAGGACAAAGAGAGAGAGGAGTCGGATGTGGAAGAGGACGTGGAAGAGGACGAGGACCAGTGCGGAGACGTATATCAGATGACATCAGGGCTACTCTGGTGGACCATGTGATAAATCATGGCCTGTCCATGAGGGAGGCTGGGCAAAGAGTCCACCCTAACCTCAGTCGCTATACAGTAGCATCGATAATAAGGACATTCCGACTGGAGAACAGGTATATCTTCAAGTTTCTACTCCAGACTGTACCTACTGTATGTGTCACATGATTCTGTATCATATTACAGTATTACTGTACTAACTATACTATACAAAAATGGGTAGTGCTGTGAAGTACTGTATATGTAAAGGAATACCATTGTGATGTTGCAGTACTGTGTACAGTTTGAAAGTACAGTATGTGAAAAATAACCTAACCAATGACATCTTGTGGTGGCATTTTCTACATAATGGTTGGACGACCTCCTCAAGGTGGAAGGGAACGGCTCTTCACTCAACAACAAGAGCTTGCCATCATTGAAATGGTGCGAGAAAATAATGCAATCTGACTTCGTGAGTTGCAACAACGCATAATTGCAAATGGAAATGAATTCAACAATATCAACAGGGTCAGCATTTCTACACTAAGTCGCATCATACAGAAACATAACTTCAGAATGAAGCAGCTGTACAGGGTGTCATTTGAGAGGAACAGTGTCAGGGTCAAGGATCTGCGCCATGATTATGTGCAGGTATGTGTCACTTTACTTTACATACTATATATTGTGATGTGGGAATGAGGGTTTATGCTGCCACCTGCCCTGCCTGTAGCTTGTAGTTTTTGTCAATACTCACCCAACCCAGCCCCTGCTTGTGTGAAAATATAGACATTGTAGTTACTGTATGTGTTTTCAGTAACACTATTCAATATTTTCTGTTACAGACAGTTCTGGAGTTTGATGCCGTCGAACTGCCGCATGAGTTCATCTACGTGGATGAGGCAGGATTCAATCTGGCCAAAACCAGGCGTCGGGGCCGTAACGTAGTTGGACAAAGGGCTGTTGTAAATGTCCCTGGGCAGCGTGGGGGAAATATCACCTTGTGTGCTGCAATTAGTGTCCAAGGATCATGCCACTCTAGGTCCCTACAATACAGGAAAGGTCATTGCATTTCTAGATGCACTACATGCAGTTGTGCAGGACAGATTACAGCAGCCCAGGTTTGTTGTCATCTGGGATAATGTTAGTTTCCACCGGGCTGCTCTGGTCCGAGATTGGTTCAACAACCATAATCATTTCACAGTTTTATACCTGCCCCCTTACAGCCCCTTTCTAAATGCAATCGAGGAATTCTTTTCAGCGTGGCGGTGGAAAGTATATGATCGGCAACCACATGCCCGCATGACTCTTCTGCAAGCAATGGAAGAGGCATGTGGAGACATTGAGGTGGGATCAATCCAAGGGTGGATTCCGCACACAAGGCGATATTTTCCCCGATGCCTAGCCCGCGAGGACATCGCCTGTGATGTTGACGAGGTCTTGTGGCCAGATCCGAACAGAAGGCGTGATCCATAAGCCCCCCCGCCCCCCACCACACACACGCACACACACACAAAACAAGTATATGTTTTTTCCCCCAATAGCAATTTATCCAGTAATTGTCTTGTTTTTTTACTTTTGTTTTGTTGCTAAATTTGATGTTAAGAATTTCTGTAAGAATGTTTGTTTTTTTGTAAAAACTTTTTGTAAATATTGTTTGATTACTGCAGAAATTCTACTTTTGAGTTTTACAGAAGACAATGACAATAAAATGACAATAAAAATAGAAACACAAAGACTGCCGTGTTTTATATAAAGCCCATCAGTGTGTTGCTAGTGATATGAAAGAGTAATTCAAATGTTGCTTGTGTGTATGTTTTTTTTGCAAGAATTTCATTTTTAGAAAGGAGTGTTAAGTTTTGATTGCAGTGTTTCATTTTGGCATATATGTGAGTTGTTAATCTCCAAGTGCTATGTCTGATTGGCTTGTGTGTTGAGTTTTGACATAATGAGCCAAATTCTGCAAAAAGTGTGTAAGCAATAGGCAAAAACTGTATTCAAGGGGGAACCGGGGCTAGCCGTGCTACCGCCATGAGCTATGGACATTAGAGAGACTAATGACCTCCAGTTAGCGGGCTGCAGCAGACTCCCAGGAATGAATAGGGACCATGATTATACAGTAAGCAAAATAGCAGGTATGTGGGAGGAAAACATCCCCACCGCAGTAGACTGACTCTCACATGGAAGTGAGAGTCCCTGCCCATCTTCCAAAAACATCTGAAACCCTACCTCTTCAAACAGTATCTTAAAAAATCCTCCTCCTCACCTCGACCCCAACCCCCCCCCCCCACAACAAAAAAAATACCAGCACTTGCGCTTGACCCCCCTCCTCTTCTAGCTCTGATTACTGATAGCTACGATATTAAGGAAAAATGTACTTTCTATGCCTGTGATATGTGGTTGTCCCACCTAGCTATCTTAAGATGAATGCACTAATTGTAAGTTGCTCTGGATAAGAGCATCTGCTAAATTACTAAAATGTAAATGTAAAATGAAGTATAAGAAAAAGCAGGTTTATTTAGGGAAGGGTATGGGGGGACGATGAAAATAGGTTAATTTACCTTTCTGGTTGAGATGGTGGATGGACAGCAGTCCCCTCCATCATACTCGCAGTAGGCCCGGTTGTTGATGGTGTCACACCAACCATCTCCCCCAAAGGGCTGGGAAAAAAGGAACTCTTATTAAAGGTAGCATCCAAAATATGACATCATCAAAAACAATGAGGCAACTTCCTACTTGCAGGCGTCAACATCAACAGAATTCAACCACACCCACATTGGGAAGTGCCAATAGTGGATACCATTGCCTTTTCATGTAATTCATTAACACCTAGTAAAGAGCTGATCCCTTACCTCTCAGAGCTGTGATTCAATATTTTTTTGCCTGTGAGACAGGAATAGGGTACTGCGTTTAACAATTCTTGCTGTACTTTGGGGAGTTCTGTCTAACTCGGCTATGGCACGCAATTGACAAATTTATGTTACATAAAAATCTTAAATGCGTCATAATGAAAGCCTTTAACGTTTTTTAACTTAACCTTAAAGTTGCTATGCCAAAAATAAGAAAATAAGAGGTGACTGCCAAAGATACTTCTGGCTTTCCCCGGGCCGATGGAGTCATTTCAAACACTCCAGGTTGTACCTGAATCCACATCACAGTAGAATGGCAGCTGCTGGGGAGATTTCTGCAGAGTTTCTCCCCTGCTCAAAGCTAGCCCCCACTCCAAAATCATTTTCCTTGCCTTTCAAAGCTGCCAAAGCTACTTTGGGCGGTAATTAAAACAGACTCGTTGGCAAAATTTGTAACAACTTCTAAACATGTGAAAGTAGTATATTTTTGCTTCTGGTTGTAATGTATCTTTAACATGACCCTTTAACATTGGTTAAATAAGTAAAATCAGTTAGACTATTTAAATCTTAAAAGTCCTTTAATGATCTAACATCACTAACTTGACCCCTTTTGGTATAAATCAAGACAATAACAAATACTGTAACATCAACAGTATGAACACCCATGCTTTCTGTAAAATAAATTCAAAGCAGACACACTTGCTTGACTCGTCCAAATGCCCATTTCTATCAACATTTCCCCACACCTTTCTTATCACCCAAATGTTCTCAATAACGTAAGAAAGAGGCATGACTTTTCCACTTGTGAGTGATTGTTTTTTATTTGATAAAGCTGCCATTAATGGAATTTAAAAGGTGATAAGGGGTCGTAGATCAGACTGATGGATCGGACTTCCACAGAGTGCTCCAGGAATCTGGGAAATAAGGCAGAGAGAGACCTCCCCACTTCTAAGGGCCCTGTGTAAACTGTCAGTAAATTTAATAGTACCCCCTCTTAGAACATACTTGGAACTCTGATGTCTGCTGGATTACGGTGTCAGTTTAATGTACCAAGTTTAAAGGTGTGTCATGACTTGCCCTCATGGTCTGAGGATCAAAGATGCTGGCTAGGCAAAGGTTTGAATACCCCCTTTCCTGGGGGCCAGTTTTATGACCGGTCGTAAATTCTTTGCAGAAACTTTATTTTCCGTGCCATGCAGTATTGGGTGAGGGAATTTCCCTGTGAGACAAAGGAAGTCTTCCCGCCAAGACTCCAACATCCAAAAGTGGATAATGAAACAATATTCCTACTTAAAAGAATGTGAGAAATGGTTGGTGGGGACTTAAAGAACAATCATGTCAAATTCGTTACTATGTTGTGATGTCATTAAAGACGGTGGAACAACAGAACTGTATCTCTGGGGGTGTACACTTTCCATTTATGAGGTTTGCATCTAATTGTTGTATAAAACAAATGATTAAGTATAATAATACTTTTGTGAAGATAACAATGTGATTTTAGCATTCTAGATGAGATGATTGTTTTCCATATTGATTTGTTCTCAGTCAGTGGCCACGCCCAGATGAGTACAAACATGATGGATCGCCCATTTTACCCTGAGTGCATAAAAAGCCTTGTGACGAAATTCACCTCAGACCAGGAAGCCCACGGCTTAAAATGGTTGATACTCTACAAGACCAGCAGACGTGAAGGTAATTGGTTGCACCAGATTTATTTATGGTCTTGGGTCAATTGATAAGTCATTGTTTCAATATAGCCTTGAAATGCATGGACAGAGTCCAGGAGCCAAGCTATGTGGTCCTCTGTAGTAATCAATAACCTGTGTTGTATTGTGTTATTATTTAGTTAGTTAGTAAATAAATAATTAAGCCAATTTGTGTATTGCTGATTCATCAATGAGGTTAGGGTTATTGCAGGTTCAAGGATTATGCGACGTTCAGAATGAGACTGATAAGAGGTAATTATTTGATAAGTGACTGTTATCGATATATAACATACAGTTGAAGTCGGAAGTTTACATACACCTTAGCCGAATACATTTAAACTCAGTTCTTCACAATTCCTGACATTTAATCTTAGTAAAAATTCCCTGTCTTCGGTCAGTTAGGATCACCACTTTATTTTAAGAATGTGAAATGTCAGAATAATAGTAGAGAGAATGATTTATTTCAGCTTTTATTTATTTCATCACATTCCCTGTGGGTCAGAAGTTTACATACACTCAATTAGTATTTGGTAGCATTGCCTTTAAATTGTTTAACTTGGGTCAAACATTTCAGGTAGCCTTCCACAAGCTTCCCACAATAAATTGGGTGAATTTTGGCCCATTCCTCCTGACAGAGCTGGTGTAACTGAGTCAGGTTTGTAGGCCAGGTTTGTACTCTCACACGCTTTTTCAGTTCTACCCACAAATGTTCTATAGGCTTGAGGTCAGGGCTTTGTGATGGCCACTCCAATACCTTGACTTTGTTGTCCTTAAGCTTTTTTGCCACAACTTTGGAAGTATGCTTGGGGTCATTGTCCATTTGGAAGACACATTTGGCGACCAAGCTTTAACTTCCTGACTGATGTCTTGAGATGTTGCTTCAATATATCCACATATTTTTCCTTCCTCATGATGCCATCTATTTTGTGAAGTGCACCAGAACCTCCTGCAGCAAAACACCCCCACAGCATGATGCTGCCACCCCATGCTTCACGGTTGGGATGGTGTTCTTCGGCTTGTAAGCCTACCCCTTTTTCCTCCAAACATAACATTTTACATTTTCATACTGCCCCCCCCCCCCCCCCCCCCCCCCCCCCCCCGTGGGAAACGAACCCACAACCCTGGCGTTGCAAGAGCCATGCTCTACCAACTGAGCTACAGGGAATGGTCATTATGGCCAAACAGTTCTATTTTTGTTTCATCAGACCAGAGGACATTTCTCCAAAAAGTATGATCTTTGTCCCCATGTGCATTTGCAAACGTAGTCTGGCTTTTTTATGATGGTTTTGGAGCAGTGGCTTCTTCCTTGCTGAGCGGCCTTTCAGGTTATGTCGATATAGGACACATTTTACTGTGGATATAGATACTTTTGTACCTGTTTCCTCCAGCATCTTCACAAGGTCCTTTGCTGTTGTTCTGGGATTGATTTGCACTTTTCGCACCAAAGTACGTTAACCTCTAGGAGACAGAATGCGTCTCCTTCCTGAACGGTATGATGGCTGCGTGGTCCCATGGTGTTTATACTTGCGTACTATTGTTTGTACAGATGAAAGTGGTACCTTCAGTCGTTTGGAAATTGCTCCCAAGGATGAACCAGACTCAGATTTTGTTCTGAGGTCTTGGCTCATCTCTTTAGATTTTCCCATGATGTCAATCAAAGAGGCACTGAGTTTGAAGGTATGCCTTGAAATACATCCACAGGTACACCTCCAATTGACTCAAATGATGTCAATTAGCCTATCAGAAGCTTCTAAAGCCATGACATCATTTTCTAGAATTTTCCAAACTGTTTAAAGGCACAGTCAACTTAGTGTATGTAATCTTCTGACCCACTGAAATTGTGATACAGTGAATTATAAGTAAAATAATCTGTCTGTAAACAATTGTTGGAAAAATTACTTGTGTCATGCACAAAGTAGATGTCCTAACCGACTTGCCAAAACTATACTTTGTTAACAAGACATTTGTGGAGTGGTTGAAAAACGAGTTTTAGTGACTCCAACCTAAGTCTATGTAAACTTCCGACTTCAACTGTATATATCTTCTAAGAGTTTAATTCGGGAGATGGTAACTCGTTAAACAACTTCTTCCGTGGTGCCCCAAATTCCTAATGAGTTAATTGTTACATGATTAATTTAATCGAGTGACAATTAATCATAGTTAGGGGATTCGATAAATAACAGTCATACATTAAAGTAAGTCACGTCACGACAGGTGTTAATGGTGCCGTGTCTGCACGAGCAGACTTTGGAGGGGAGGCCGACTTTTCTCCAAAACCATGGTGTTTTCTCTTTTGAAAAATCCATTGTTTTAGTATGCTGTAATTCCTACAGTAGACTAGTTGCTTGCTGAGCTATTTGAGTTACAGCAGCGAATAAATATATCAACTGTCAGATAGACAACCTGGCTGTTTACTCATTTTCCTGGCTTCTGTCGAAAGGGGGTTATTTTGGGATTCTATTCCACACAACTGTTTCCATTCACACAAAAATATTTTGAAGAAACAGAAATTAACACAATGCAATTGTTTCCAGGATGACTCAGTACGTTTGACAATACCAGAACAAATGTGGACTAAGTTCATCATTAGCAACACCAAGGGTGGAGATACCCCACGAAAACAGTCTTTCAACTTAAAAGCCACACATGGTTATAGATTAAACCTAAACATCCTGTTAGAGTGAAGGAAGGGGTTACACTCGGAGAGAGAGCCGACTGGCCAAGTTTAATGCTAAGTGAAAGAAACAACAAACAAAAAAATTCCATAGCACAAACCGTTCATGTTTTGGGAAGGGAAAGGAAAGGGGATACCTAGTAAGTTGCACAACTGAATGCATTCAACCGAAATGTGTCTTCGGCATTTAACCCAACCCCTCTGAATCAGAGAGGTGCGGGGGGCTGCCTTAATCGACGTCCGATGGCGCCCGGGGAGCAGTTGTTGTTCGGGGTTAACTGCCTTGCTCAAGGGCACACATTATCACTTCCTGATTGGGACTTCCTCAGAGCTCGCTCACTAATTCTGTTCTCTTCTAAATTCATTCTCAAATGTAAAGTCATGTTTAGCGGTTCAAAACAAACCCGAAAAATGTAAATGTATGTCTGGCAAATGTAAAACTTCAAGTTACAGTAACCTCTCAAGGTATTGTAAAATTAGACAATTTAAAGAAACACTATGGAACTTTGCCGACTTCTAAATATGTTTTAACCTCCTGCTTTGTGCTGGATATGTGAATGTGTAGTTCATACATGCATAATCTATGAGCAGAATTACTATCTTTCCTCAATTAGCCACGAAATCCCTAGTTTGAAAGCGACTGTTTTTCTTGAAGCTGTGCTGTGCCATTTTCCCTACATTTCCCCCCACGTGGGCCAGCCCTATAGCAATTTGAGTTCAACCAATGGGCAATAACGCAACAATAACGGCTTTAAACTGAATAAGTGATTAACGCACCAGGATAGCAGGTCATTTAACACTTAAAAAAATATATTGATAAGATATTTGGCTACAGAAGTGTCATTTCTTACCAATCTCTATAGCTTCCGTCCAAAATGACGTCAACGTATACTGGACGAGTTTCTGTACATTTTGCCATTGCTTATGATGTGTTCATATGCTATATGCTATCTGACGTGTTTTGGCTGGTGCCCCCCAACCAAAACATTTGTATTTGTTTATTTTAAAGAAATGTTACATTACAGGACGAATTGATCTGTTCTGAATATTGGGGGGCACATGTCCCCCTATCCCTGGTGGCATTTTTACCTATGATAGAACACTCACCTCACATGACTGGATACATTGGATGAGTTCGGGGTCAGGATGCCACCTCATCATTCCTGTGCAGACGATGTCCTGTAATGTAGCATTAATTGAGATGCTGTAATTAGTCATCCGTATCTATATCAACATCAAGCTCTATAGATCTAAACCAATTTAAGTTAAACTAGGCTTACAGGAGATAGTATGTCTGTACACTGGACATTCTTTTTGTTGATACAAAATGTCAATGACTACACTTGATAAAGATCTCTAACTTTACATCCAGCTCTATCTTTACACTATTGCTCCGACCAATCCAAAAACATTTAGTCAACAAGCCCATATTTGGTGTTATGAAGTGATCCAGCCAAAATGGCACTGTCATCTCGAGTTCTCATAATGGTCTTTGGCATTTTCTTTCTACCTTAATTTGAACGACAGTGTACTAATCATATTGATTGACTGACAAAGACTGTAGGAGTAACAGGATACTCCTTTGTGTCCCAAAAGTTGTCTGGTTAAGGGATACAGTCATGATTCCCATGTAGATTCAAGCAAACATAATGCCTTGGATCACGATGACGTGCCAATAATACAGCTCAAGTTATCAAAATCAGTGCCAAACTATTTGGCCCTAAGGCAGTTAGGTCTGCTGGCTCAGTGAAGGGCCACCCAATAGAGCAGGGGTACTCAACTCTTACCCTACGAGGTCTGGAGCCTGCTGGTTTTCTGTTCTACCTGATAATGAATTGCACACACCTGGTGTCCCAGGTCTAAATCAGTCCCTGATTTGAGGGGATCAATGAAAAAATGCAGCAGAACAGCTTCGAGGTCCAGAGTTCAGTTTGAGGGCAATAGAGGGTCAAATGATAGGGCTGTTTACACAAGCGTTCATGTCGAAGCGATCCTTTGAGATGATATTGGGCAGGTTGCCCTTCTTAAGAAAACAACAGTACATTTCACTCTGACATATCATTGAAATTCCTTGACATTCCACCGTGATGATTGCGTGTTCCACAGATTCTTGATGAAAGGCGCCTATTTATAATAGTAAGCTCTGATGTCACATATAACTTTTTTTGGTCCATCCGATTCTTTATACCATCATAATTTGCCATATGTATGTAAATCTTGCAGAAATCACAATAAACATTTGATCATTACAGAGTTCACAGTGAGGCTAACAGTGTCCTAACTTAGCAGGAAAGAAGCAGGAAGCTTGCACTTGGTTGTTTATATTGAATAATATTAATACATTCAGTAAAATAAGCTGCAAATTGAGCTTTTTTGCAGGAAAAGCTCAATATGAAGGAGAGACAACCATATGTTTTAGTCCATTATTCATCCAAATGAATCATTTCAGCAAGCCAAAGACCTGTTTGTGAAGCTCTAAGGTTACACAAAGGGGATATCAGCCAATGCAAATAACATTCAGTAAATAAAAAAGCGTCACAACGTTTGCGTCAGTCAAACACCTTACCTGAACCCTGCCTGGCAGCATCCAGTGCTTGACGCTGTCTGCTGTGGTGCCATTGTCTAAAACCACTGGGTCATGCAAGGCCGCACTGCATGTTGGGTAACAAACTGCACCTGCAGTGATACAAAGTAAGCTTTCCTTCTACCCTGATTTGCATCTGTTGAATTTATTCATGTGCAAATAAAAAAAGTTGAGACTAGTCATCTGTGGTTCAACAGCTTGGCAGTTCGGCTTGCAAAGTGTTTTACCACCTGCTACCTGCTATGGCTCTGTTTAATTTTCCAATGCCTTCTGGGATGCTACACAACGCAATACAATTCACAATATCTAAACAATTAAGAATACTTATGTCTGGGGCAAAATATATATATATATATATTTTAAAGTATAGTATTACATAATCATGAGATGTTAAAACACGTTCTGTTACATCGTAGAAACTTTCAGACCAAACAAATACCAACAGAAGGATGCAATGCATTATGTCTTTAAAATAATACTGACAGTCTATGGATTACTACAGTACAAAACACTGCAGTACATTACTACACTAAAGTACTACTGTAAGTGTAATGAGGAGTGTCCTCAAGCTGGAGAAGTTGAGAGGAGACTTACCAACATTGAAGCCCTCGTCACAGGCAAACTGAACCTGATTGACATCATGCAGAGGTGGGCAGGCTCCAGCTAACCTTGTACACATGGTGAACTCCTCTGTCCACCTACCATCTTTAGTACAGCGAATCGTGTGCTGTCAGGAGAGATAAAAACTGAATGAATAAGATAGTCCTTTATTAATGGAATGGGATGATGTTTAAGCTCAGACAGTGGACCTATATCGCATCTTTAGTTTAATGTAAAGAGAGCTAAAGCCTTACGTTTTCCGAGGCGTGGGGACACTGGAGGGTACAGAGGCTGTTGTAGTGCCTGCCATTGGTGCAGGTGTACATACCCTCAAAGACAGCAAGCAGAGATGGACAGGGAACGGGTTCACAGCCCCCCTCCTCCCACTGTCCCCCCTCTACACACTCCACCTTCAGAAACCTCCTGGGGACGCAACACACACACAACACACATGCAGACACACATACGCACACACGCACGCACACACACACACACAATTGTGTTGTTTCAAATTTAATTTAAAACATGTCAAAGGTAATAATAAACAAGATCATTTAAACTCATTTTTATAGTGCTTTTGGATTTTAGCACATTGCATTAATAATAACTCATTAGAGGTGCTTAAGACGTTCACACATCTTAAAAGTGAGTTGAAAAACTCATAAAGAAGTCCAGGTGCAAATATTCTGTTATCATATTAGTTTGTACATGCAGTTGGTCCTGTAGAACATGTTGAGCAGTCTTAGAAGGTCCAGCTAGATTCAAGAACATTGTCTTTGACAGACAATATTGCCCAATAGTCAAGGGATAATGCTGATACCAACAAAGGGAGGAAATAAATTCGCACCAGCCGCTTACTAATGGGAAACCATGTCATTAGAAACACGTGAATTACATCGATAATGAGGCGAAGTTACCCAATTAATTCAACTGAAAAACAGTAATGAGGAAAGTAACCATTGGTATGGAATTTATTGGAGGTTTATGTTGCTATGCTTAGAAACCGTACACAGGTACGCAAGGTTGATGGATCTAAAAATACATTTAAATCTACGAATTGGGCTATTTAAACTCAGGAGCCGTGGGGGAAATATGTGATGCATTCATTGTTCCTTGTTACATAAAATAGCAGCTATTAACACGGTTCTATAACACATTTATGGAGCAAAAGAAAAGTGATACATAACACATTACTCACTTTCTTGACTTTGTGTTTAGGCTGCCCGTAACATAGTAACCTGGGTTACATTTGTAACGGCATACGGTACCCACATCATGTCCTGTACCACCGCACTGGGGCACTAGGAGCTTGGCATTGGGTACTGTAGGAGGTTCTGGGCACTCTATCTTACAGTAGGCTTCAGGGAAGGACCATAGACCATCACCTAGGCACACCAACCTATCACTGTCCCCTGCAAGACAAATAAAGGCACACAATCAATTCAAACCTCACACAGAATTGTATATAATACAATTGTAATGATGAGTAGAGGTTTGTTATTAACACTCTTAATGAATCTGACATCTGGAATCAGTCCCTTTGTTCAATTGCTAAGAGAGAAGGTGAGTTTGGGGACTATTAGTGATTTCAATATAATCAAATGTACCGTATGTGTCCATACCTGCCGGTGCGTAAAGCTCAATTATCTAATGCCCCCACACAAGGTTATGTTGGTATGTATATGCCATCATAATACTCTAAAAGTTGTGTTCATTTTATTGGTCTATAAAATGTAATGAATCTTTGACATGGTTTAAAGTTTTATAAGGTCTTTAAGCTTTGCTCTAGTGTTGCAATCATTATCAAAATCCAATACAGATGTGGGATCTTAATTTGACCACCCTGTTGCAGGAGAACATTCTGGCAGTGTAGGAAATGTAAAACTTGTAGTGTATTTGAGGATGGGCCAGCATCCCTGTGAGAGGGGGGTGGGGGGCAACTCAATATTAGGAAGGTGTTCCTAATATTGAGCCACCCCCTGTAGCTCAGTTGGTAGAGCATGGCGCTTGCAACGCCAGGGTTGTGGGTTCGATTCCCACGGGGGGCCAGTATGCACTCACTAACTCTAAGTCGCTCTAGATAAGAGCGTCTGCTAAATGACTAAAATGTAGATGTAATGTTATGTTTGGTATACTCTGTTGGGATTTGCCATCTATCTAAGCTTCGGAAGAGAAAGCGTTATGTTGTCAATAACAACTTTGGGTAGCGATCGTGTGAGTGAGTGACCTCGGAGTAAAACCCTGTAGTAGAACCTAGAAGCCAGGAGTAAAAGACCTGGAGTAGAACCTAGAAGCCAGGAGTAAAACCCTGTAGTAGAAGCTAGAAGCCAGGAGTAAAAGACCTGGAGTAGAACCTAGAAGCCAGGAGTAAAACCCTGTAGTAGAAGCTAGAAGCCAGGGCCCTGAGGTAAATGAAATGGCAGGCGAGCTCTAAGCCAGCATGTTCTTGCCAGCATGAGCCCCAGTCGGCCCTGCTGGCGACTCCAGAGTTAGAAACCCTCTCTTGTTTGCCTTATTTCCTATCCCCACCTGTCAGCAACCAGCTATGGCTGCATGCTACTTTCCTATTTACACAAAGCCTAGGGCCTCCGTCCACTGGACGCCAGCCAAGACCAACTGCCAAGCTGTTCAGCTCAGTCCCAGGGCCGGCTGAACAGCCTCGCCTCACAACAACCTCTAATAGGTTAGAGCAGAGCAACACAGACACACTCCTACGCCATGATGCCACATCAGGCTAGACTCCAAGCCCCTCTGTGTACCCAACCAACATGAGGTAATACACTCGTAGAAAAAAGGGTTCCAAAAGGGTTCTTCAGCTGTACCCATAGGAGAACCGTTTTTGGTTCCAGGTAGAACCCTTTTTGGTTTCAGGTACAACCCTTTTGGGTTCCATGTAGAACCCTCTGTGAAAAGAGCTCTACATGGAACCCAAAAGGGTTTAACCTGGAATCAAAAAGGGTTCTTCAAAGGGTTCTCCTATGGGGAAAGCCGAAGAACCCATTAAGGTTCTAGATAGCACCTTTCTTTCTAAGAGTATAGACTGAGATCCCTCAGGTAAAAACTAAAACAGCAATGACAGCCTCATGGTCAAGTTAATTTCTCTGAGAAAATGTTAGAATGTGCCATTCATGTTGTGTAAATGAGTGAATGAATATCAACTTTCCACTTCATGAAAATGATAAATGGACCTATAATCTTCTAAACCTATAAACTGTTATGAATACAAAGCAATGCATGTAAATTTGTATCATTAAATCTGTACTGTTGACCATACATACCCTGAAGCATGGCGGGGGAATTGCAGGTAAAAGAGCACTGCTTGCGAAATGTTGTTCCCCAAGGGCAGCTGAAGACAGCGAAGTAGACGTGAGACTGGTCAGGGGGCCCACAGTCGATTGGCTGACAGCTCACAACACGGTCCCATGCTCCATTTACACACTGAAGCGTTGTTTCTCGCTTTCAATGGAAGATGAATAAATTACCATTACACAGTCATGATGGGCTATGGAATACTACTACAGTAATACAAATATACTGTATACTACTGCTGCTACTTGTAATAGTTCCTCTACGATCTATATCTCGACAGTCATTTGAGGCTAGTACTGTTTCATGTTACTTTCAAATGCTCTCAAATTGATGTGTAGGGGGATAAAGTGTAGGGGGCTTATAATATATACTTTATATATGATTTCTATAATGCACAGTTTCTTAAAAATATAATGATTTCTGGAAGTTCTAGGGTTGTGTTTACCTGATGGGGTAAGACCATAGTCTAATCCTAGAGTTGTGCTTACCTGATGGGGTAAAACCCTAGTCTAATCCTAGTGTTGTGCTTACCTAATGGGGTAAGACCCTAGTCTAATCCTAGAGTTGTGTTTACCTGATGGGGTAAGACCCTAGTCTAATCCTAGTGTTGTGCTTACCTGATGGGGTAAGACCCTAGTCTAATCCTAGTGTTGTGCTTACCTGATGGGGTAAGACCCTAGTCTAATCCTAGTGTTGTGCTTACCTGATGGGGTAAAACCCTAGTCTAATCCTAGTGTTGTGCTTACCTAATGAGGTAAGACACTAGTCTAATCCTAGTGTTGTGCTTACCTGATGGGGTAAGACCCTAGTCTAATCCTAGTGTTGTGCTTACCTAATGGGGTAAGACCCTAGTTTAATCCTAGTGTTGTGCTTACCTGATGGGGTAAGACCCTAGTCTAATCCTAGTGTTGTGCTTACCTGAAAGGGTGGATTGCCCTTGCCACTGAGAACAGCGAGGGTGAAACCTCGATGACAGTGGACAGTGCAGTGAGTGGTCTCAGTCCTCTCTGTCCCGGGGCTGCAGGTGATAGAGGCATGCTCCAACTGAGGACGACTGCATGTGTCCATCTGGCAGGGCCGCCGTGAACAGCTGGGCCACCACGATCACACACACACAGAGGGAGAGAAGAAACACAGAGGGAAAAGTATGAGCTGAGTAATGTTGATTATTTGAATCCTCAACAGACATGGTATCACATAGAACACTCAGTGTGCGTGTACACGATTATTACTCAACCCTGCACCTTAGAAGCTGATGCCCTATATTCAGTGCATTCGGAAAGTATTTAGACCTCTTGACATTCGCCCCAGTCTGAGGTCCTGAGCACTCTGGAGCAGGTTTTCATCAAGGATCTCTCTGTAGTTTACTCCGTTCATCTTTCCCTCGATCCTGACTAGTCTCCCAGTCCTTGCCGCTGAAAAACATCCCCACAGCATGAGGCTGCCACCACCATGCTTCACCGTAGGGATGGTGCCAGGTTTCCTCCAGATGTGACGCTTGGCATTCAGGCCAAAGAGTTCAATCTTGGTTTCATCAGACCAGAGAATCTTGTTTCTCATGGTCTGAGTCCTTTAGGTGCCTTTTGGCAAACTCCAAGTGGGCTGTCATGTGCCTTTTACTGAGGAGTGGCTTCCGTCTGGCCACTCTACCATGAAGGCCTGATTGGTGGAGTGCTGCAGAGATAGTTGTCCTTCTGGAAGTTTCTCCGATCTCCACAGAGGAACTCTAGAGCTCTGTCAGAGTGACCATCGGGTTCTTGGTCACCTCCCTGACAAAGGCCCTTCTCCCCCGATTGCTCAGTTTGGCCGGACGGCCAGCTCTAGGAAGAGTCTTGGTGGTTCCAAACTTCTTCCATTTAAGAATGATGGAGACCACTGTGTTCTTGGGGACCTTCAATGCTGCAGAAATTCCTTTCCAAATCATGTCCAATCAATTAAATGTAGCCCAGGTGGACTCCAATCAAGTTGCAGAAACATCTCAAGGATGATCAATGGAAACATGATGCATCTGAGCTAAATTTCGAATCTCATAGCAAAGGGTCTGAATAATTATGTAAATCAGATATTTCTGTTTTTAATTTTGAATACATTTGCAAAAATGTCTAAAAACTTGTTTTCACTTTGTCATTATGGGGTATTATGTGTAGATTGATGAGGAAAAAAATATTTAATCAATTTTAGAATAAGGCTGTAACGTAACAAAATGTGGAAAAAGTAAAGGTGTCTGAATACTTTCCGAATGCACTGTAAATAGACATGGAATCACTGGTCACTTTAATAATGGAACACTAGTCACTTTAATAATGTTTACATACTGCTTTACTCATCTCATATGTATATACTGTATTCTATTCTACTGTATTTTAGTCAATGCCACTCCGACATTTCGCGTCCTAATATCTATATAATTCTTAATGGAATTATTTAAGAATTATATAGATATTAGGACGAGCAATGTTTACTTTTAGATTTGTGTGTATTGTTGTGAAATGTTAGATAGTCTGCACTGTTGGAGCTAGGAACACAAGCATTTCGCTACACCCGCAATAACATCTGCTAAGAAATGTGTATGTGACCAATAATATTTTAGTTGCTTTGATTTGATGTGTTGCGTATGTGTGTGTGCGTGTGTGTGCTATTTTATGTGTTGGTATATGGGTGTGTATGCCTGACTAACAGTGTGTGTGTACACATACAGTGAGGGAAAAAAGTATTTGATCCCCTGCTGATTTTGTACGTTTGCCCACTGACAAAGAAATTATCAGTCTATAATTTTAATGGTAGGTTCATTTGAACAGTGAGAGACAACAATAACAACAACAAAATCCAGAAAAACGTATGTCAAACAATTTATAAATTGATTTGCATTTTAATGAGGGAAATAAGTATTTTACCCCCTCTGATTTCTGGCTCCCAGGTGTCTTTTATACAGGTAACGAGCTGAGATTAGGAGCACACTCTTAAAGGGAGTGCTCCTAATCTCAGTTTGTTACCTGTATAAAAGACACCTGTCCACAGAAGCAATCAATCAATCAGATTCCAAACTCTCCACCATGGCCAAGAGCAAAGAGCTCTCCAAGGATGTCAGGGACAAGATTGTAGACCTACACAAGGCTGGAATGGGCTACAAGACCATCGCCAAGCAGCTTGGTGAGAAGGTGACAACAGTTGGTGTGATTATTCGCAAATGGAAGAAACACAAAATAACTGTCAATCTCCCTCGGCCTGGGGCTCCATGCAAGATCTCACCTCGTGGAGTTGCAATGATCATGAGAACGGTGAGGAATCAGCCCAGAACTACATGGGAGGATCTTGGCATTGAAAATGGGTCGCGGATGGATATTCCAGCATGACACGGCCAAGGCAACAAAGGAGTGGCTCAAGAAGAAGCACATTAAGGTCCTGGAGAGGCCTAGCCAGTCTCCAGACCTTAATCCCATAGAAAATATGTGGAGGGAGCTGAAGGTTCGAGTTGCCAAACCTCAGCCTCGAAACCTTAATGACTTGGAGAAGATCTGCAAAGAGGAGTGGGACAAAATCCCTCCTGAGATGTGTGCAAACCTGGTGGCCAACTACAAGAAACATCTGACCTCTGTGATTACCAACAAGGGTTTTGCCACCAAGTACTAAGTCATGTTTTGCAGAGGGGTCAAATACTTATTTCCCTCATTAAAATGCTAATCAATTTATAACATTTTTGACATGCGTTTTTCTGGATTTTTTTGTTGTTATTCTGTCTCCTACTGTTCAAATAAACCTACCATTAAAATTATAGACTGATCATTTGTTTGTCAGTGGGAAAACGTACAAAATCAGCAGGGGATCAAATACTTTTTTCCCTCACTGTATGTGCCTGTACATGTACACTACCGTTCAAAGGTTTGGGGCCACTTAGAAATGTTCTTGTTTTCGAAAGAAAAGCAATTTTTTTGTCCATTAAAATAACATCAAATTGATCAGAAATACAGTGTAGACATTGTTAATATTGTAAAAGGCTATTGTAGCTGGAAACGGCTGATTTTTTTATGGAATATCTACATAGGTGTACAGAGGCCCATTATCAGCAACCATCAGTCCTGTGTTCCAATGGCACGTTGTGTTTGCTAATCCAAGTTTATCATTTTAAAAGGCTAATTGATCATTAGAAAACCCTTTTGCAGTTATGTTAGCACAGCTGAAAACTGTTGTGCTGATTAAAGAAGCAATACAACTGGCCTTCTTGAGACTAGTTGAGTATCTGGAGCATCAGCAATTGTGGGTTCGATTACAGGCTCAAAATGGCCAGAAACAAATAACTTTCTTCTGAAACTCATCAGCCTATTCTTGTTCTGAGAAATGAAGGCTATTCCATGCAAAAAATTGCCAAGAAACTGAAGATCTCGTACAATGCTGTGTACTACTCCATTCACAGAACAGCGCAAACTGGCTCTAACCAGAATAGAAAGAGGAGAGGGAGGCCCCGGTGCACAACTGAGAAAGAGGACAACTACATTAGAGTGTCTAGTTTGAGAAACAGATGCCTCACAGGTCCTTATCTGGCAGCTTCATTAAATAGTACCCGAAAAACACCAGTCTCAACGTCAACAGTGAAGAGGCGACTCTGGGATGCTGACCTTCTAGGCAGAGTTGCAAAGAAAAAGCCATATCTCAGACTGGCCCATAAAAAGAAAAGATTAAGATGGGCAAAAGAACACAGACACTGGAGAGAGGAAGATTGGAAAAAAGTATTATGGACAGACGAATCGAAGTTTGAAGTGTTCGGATCACAAAGAAGAACATTTGTGAGACGCAGACCAAATGAAAAGATGCTGGAGGAGTGCTTGATGCCATCTGTCAAGCATGGTGGAGGCAATGTGATGGTCTGGGGGTGCTTTGGTGGTGGTAAAGTGGAAGATTTGTACAGGGTAAAAGGGATCTTGAAGAATGAAGGCTATCACTCCATTTTGCAACGCCATGCCATACCCTGTGGACGGCGTTTGATTGGAGCCAATTTCCTCCTACAACAGGACAATGACCCAAAGCACAGCTCCAAACTATGCAATAACTATTTAGGGAAGAAGCAGTCGCCTTGTATTCTGTCTATAATGGAGTGGCCAGCACAGTCACCGGATCTCAACCCTATTGAGCTGTTGTGGGAGCAGCTTGACCGTATGGTACGTAAGAAGTGCCCATCAAGCCAATCCAACTTGTGGGAGGTGCTTCAGGAAGCATGGGGTGAAATCTCTTCAGATTACCTCAACAAATTGACAACTAGAATGCCTAAGGTCTGCGAGGCTGTAATTGCTGCAAATGGATGATTCTTTGATGAAAGCAAAGTTTAAAGGACACAATCATCAAATCATTATTTCTAACCTTGTCAATTACTTAATTTCCTATTCATTTTGCTATATTTCCTATTCAAACTCAATTCATGTATGTTTTCATGGAAAACAAGGACATTTCTAAGTGACCCCAAACTTTTGAACGGTAGTGTACGTATGTGCATGCATGCATGTGCATGTATGTATGTGTGTGTGTGTGCATGTGGAAGCCCTATGAGACCCCACCCTCAGCGCACCCAGTAAGGGCAAAGGCGCTGAAGTGACACGACGTGCGCAGAGCGACTCCCGTCACGGCAACGAAGGGCGAGGAGAAGTTGAGGATGACAGCGGTGGTCAGGAAGAAGGGTTGACTCAGGTTGTGTGTCACGTTCACCACCAGGGGATTCTGCTGGCACGACAGCTCAAAGGAACCTGAGGACAGACAGGCCCTTTTTCAATGAATCTTTCCTCGATTCCTCATCTTCTTCTCAAAATATATTGGACAAGAATGTCAACTACAGTTGAGAAGGAGACGAGGAGATGGGATGCGAGGAATTGCGGAGAGAGAAATTGAGATTTTTGTATTTTGTATTTATTAGGGATCCCCATTAGCTGCTGCCAAGGCAGCAGCTACTCCTCCTGGGGTCCAAACATATTAAAGTACTTATAAAGTACATATAAAACAAAATATAAAACAATACATCATATAACATTATTACACCACTACATATATACAATACAACATGTTTAATACCACCATAGAACAATATCACAATGTGTGCGTATGCATGTGTCTGTACCTTTGTGTGTGTCTCTTCACAGTCCCATTTGTTCCATAAGGTGTATTTTTACCTGTTTTTTAAAATCTGATTCTAATGCTTGCATCAGTTACCTGAGGTGGAATAAAGTTCCATGTAGTCATGGCTCTATAAAGTACTGTGCGCCTCCCATAGTCTGTTCTGGACTGTGAAGAGACCTCTGGTGGTATGTCTTGTGGGGTATGCATGGGTGTCTGAGCTGTGTGCTAGTATTTTAAACAGACAGCTCTGTACATTCAGCTTGTCAACACCTCTTACAAAAACAAGTAGTGATGAAGTCAATCTCTCTTCCACTTTGAGCCATGAGAGATTGACATGCATGTCATTAATGTTAGCTCTCCGTGTACTTTTTTAGGGCCAGCCGTGCTACCCTGTTCTGAGCCAACTGCAATTTTCCCAAGTCCCTCTTTGTGGCACCTGACCACACTACTGAACAGTAGTGTAGGTGCGACAAAACTAGGGCCTGTAGGACCTGCCTTGTTGATTGTGTTGTTAAGAAGGCAGAGCAGCGCTTTATTATGGACAGACTTCTCCCCATCTTAGCTTAGCTGCTGTTGTATCAATATGTTTTGACCATGACAGTTTACAATCCAGGGTTACTCCAAGCAGTTTAGTCACCTCAACTTGCTCAATTTCCACATTATTCATTACGAGATGTAGTTTTAGGGTTTAGTGAATGATTTGTCCCAAATACAATGCTTTTAGTTTGGGAAATATTTAGGACTAACTTATTCCTTGCTACCCATTCCGAAACTAACTGCAGTTCTTTGTTAGGTGTTGCAGTTATTTCAGTTGCTGTAGTAGCTGACATGTATAGTGTTGAGTCATCCGCATACATAGACACACTGGCCAGTGGCATGTTGTTAGTAAAGATGGAAAAAAGTAAGGGGCCTAAACAGCTACCATGGGGAATTCCTGATTCTACCTGGATTATGTTTGAGAGGCTTCCATTAAAGAACACCCTCTGTAACTCTTTATCCACATTATAGCAGGGGGTGTAAAGCCATAACACATATGTTTTTCCAGCAGCAGACTCTGATCGGTAATGTCAAAAGCTGCACTGAAGTCTAAAATGACAGCCCCTACAATCATTTTATCATCAATTTCTCTCAGCCAATCATCAGTCATTTGTGTAAGTGCTGTGCTTGTTGAGTGTCCTTCCCTATAAGCATGCTGAAAGTCTGTTGTCTGTTTACTGTGAAATATCATTGTATCTGGTCAAACACAATTTTTTCCAGAAGTTTACTAAGTTTTGTAACAGACTGATTGGTTAGCTATTTGAGCCAGTAAAGGGGGCTTTACTATTCTTAGGTAGCGGAATGACTTTAGCTTCCCTCCAGACCTGAGGGCACACACTTTCTAGTAGGCTTAAATTGAAGATGTGGCAAATAGGAGTGGCAATATCGTCTGCTATTATCCACAGTAATTTTCCATCCAGATTGTCAGACCCCGGTGGCTTGTCATTGTTGATAGACAACAACCATTTTTTCACCTCTTCCAAACTGACTTTACGGAATTCAAAGTACAATGCTTGTCTTTCATAATTTGGTCAGATATACTTGGATGTGTAGTGTCAGCGTTTGTTGCTGGCATGTCATACTTAAGTTTGCTTATCTTGCCATTTAAAGTAGTTGGCAATATCAGTGGGTTTTGTGATGAGTGAGCAATCTGATTCAATGAATGATGGAGCCGAGTTTGCCTTTTTCCACAAAATTTCATTTAATGTGCTCCAAAGCTTTTTACTATCATTCTTTGTATCATTTATTTTTATTTCATAGTATAGTTTATTTTTCTTTAGTTTAGTCACATGATTTCTTAATTTACAGTACGTTTGCCAATCAGTTGGGCTGCCAGACTTATTTGCCATACCTTTTGCCTCATCCCTCTCAACCATACAATTTTTCAATTCCTCATCATCCAAGGGGATTGAACAGTTTTTACAGTCATTTTCTTAATGGGTGCGTGCTTATTAGTAACTGGAATAAGCAAGTTCATAAATATGTCAAGTGCAGCGTCTGGTTGCTCCTCATTACACACCACACACCAGCAAATATTCTTTACATCATCAACATATGAATCACTACAAAACGTATTGTATGACCTCTTATACACTACATTAGGCTCAGCCTTTGGAACTTTGGTTTTCCTAGATATGGCTACAATATTGCGTTCACTACATCCTATGGATTTGGATACTGCTTTGAAGCAAACTTCTGCAGCATTAGTAAATATGTGATCAATACATGTTGATGATTTAATTCCTGTGCTGTTTGTAAATATCCTGGTAGGTTGACTGACAACCTGAACCAGGTTGCAGGCATTGGTTACAGTTTGACGTTTTTTTTTGAGTGGGCAGCTTGATGAGAGCCAGTCAATATTTAAGTCACCCAGAAAATATACTTCTCTGTTTATATCACTTACATTATTAAGCATTTCACACATCCTATCCAGATACTGACTGTTAGCACTTGGTGGTCTATAGCAGCTTCCCACAAGAATGGGCTTTAGGTGGGGCAGATGAACCTGTAGCCATATTACTTCAACAGTATTTAACATTAGGATCGTCTCTAAGCTTTACAGGAATGTGGTTCTAAATATAGACCGCAACACTGCCCCCGTTGGCATTTCTGTATTTTCGGTAGATGTTATAACCATGTATGGCTACCACTGTATCATCAAATGTATTATCTAAGTGAGTTTCAGATTGACTTCATGGACCTTGTTTCTCAGGCTGCATATGTTAATATGGGCTATTTTTAGCACTTTTCTGGGTTGCTTGATTGTTTTTAATGCTTTACTGGGAAGCTTGTCAGAAGTAGACTTGCTCATGTTATTTATATTGGAGCTGATAGAGCAGGGTGAGCTGCACACAATGGTCTTCCTACTAGGGCACACCGCCTCAGTGCTAACAGTGTAACTCTGGTTCATAGGCTCATGATTACTGCTGTTACGGATACAGGTATCCTGTGTCTTTTTGTGTTTTTCCTCTCCTTCTGCCCTAATCACAGGTGTCCTGTATGTTCCTGATTGGTGGTCGTTGGGGTGTCTGCTGATTGCTGAGGTGGACCAATCAGTGGACATTCCTCTGCATTGCACCACCTGTTTCTGGTTTTTCAATCACACATCCCATTGTTTAAAAGCCGGTCAGTTGTGTTTGTTGTTAGAGACTATTTCCGTATGTGAGTATGGATACTGTGGTGTCCTGTGTTTTGTGTACTCACTCATTTGCTGGTTACTCTGTTTGGTAACTTTGTTAGACTATTTTCCGTATGTGAGTATGGATACTGTGGTGTTTTGTGTACTCACTCATTTGCTGGTTACTCTGTTTGGTAACTTTGTGTGTTTCTGGGAAAAGGGGAATTTAAGCAAGTTGCCCTTGGGCGTACATTACCCGTAGGAAGAAAACTGTCTAAAAACACTAGTTAGACCTGAGCGGACCACCCACTGTAATTTTTGTATGATTAGCAGTAGCTTAGCGGTTCTTGAGGCAGGCAAGATCAGTTTAGGGTTTGTTTACACTATTGTTAAATTTCTTGGGTCCTGCTCAGCCCTTTTTCTCAAACCTTTACTGTGTGTTCAAAAATAAACCTTTTATGTTTGACGGTAGTTTATGGTTGTCGTGTAGTTTTTGTTCTCACTGTTCCATGTCACGCTTCTAATTTGCATGAATTATGTTACGGGTCTCTTGTCCATCCACCCTAGACGTTTAAAGCCACGGGGTTCGTAACAACTGCATACAATAGCTGTAGGATCAACAGAGGTATTCAGGACAATTAGGGGGACATAAATTAAGTTACTTACATTGTGTCTGCCAAGCCCCTAGGATAATGTACATTTATGACGACTCATTGCCACAATGGTAGGGATTAACTGAGCTGGTCTTGGGTCATTGTTTCAATATAGCCTTGAAATGCGTGGACAGAGTCCAGGAGTCAAGATATGTGGTCCTCAATCCCCGGCACCACCCATACATAAAAATGTATGCACGCATGACTAAGTCGCTTTGGATAAAAGCGTCTGCTAAATGGCATATTATATTATTATTTGGATGGACTCCGTCATTCCTGTAGAGTATCTTCTGTTTCCAGAAGGTGTCAAAGTTATCTATAAAAGTGATTCCAACAGAGCTACAGTAATCTTTTAGCTAGATGTGTAATGCCAGTAGCCTGCTGAATCTTTCACACCCACGGCCCAACGATGGTACTGGACCTGAAATGATTGGCCATTTTTTGGAGTCTTTTAATGCTAAAATCAGTTCTTTAAAATCAATTTTCAGATGTTCTGAGATAGCCCTCCTGATGTCGTTTGACCCCACATGCACTATGACAGTGTCAGCTCCCTGTATCTGTTGTAGAACAGTCGGAAGCAGCTTTGTGATGTCCTGTACTCGTGCTCCAGGGTAGCACAGGGTTTTTGCATTGGGAATCGAGATGTTTCTCACTATAGAGCTGCCGATGATGACAGCTGGTGATGTTGAATGGGCCGGTCTCTCAGGCAGCCTCACGGTCTGATGAGGGTGGGAGCTCTGAGGATCTGAACCTGAGGTAGAAGCCACCGGAGAGGGAGACAGATCAGAGGATGAAGACGCAGGTACCTCCGGATCCGATCTTGAATGGGAAGCCCCTAAGGAAGACGGCACTGGAACCTCTGGATCCAGGGCGGCAAAGCCGTTTCTGGTCTGTGTCAGGTCCGGGCTTAACATCTCCAAGGAGACCCCGTTGCCAGAGGACGCTTTCTTCCGTTTCCACGGCGAGTGACGTATCTCCATGGATGGTTGGTTGGGTCGAGAACAGCTCCGTTCTCCAGGGAAGGGAGAGACCCCTTCGCGGATGGATCCCTGCTGAGCACCGGCCTGTCGGCTGTGGAGAGCCTACACGGCGGCGACACTTCCACTAAACCAGAGCAGCGTCCGACTACTGGGGTGGAAGAAAATGAAAAAGTAGGCAGGCGTGGATTCCCCAGTAGCTTGTGTAGGTTTGCTACTTGCTTGCTAAGAGTAGCCACTTCGCCCCTGTAGTCCTCTGCAAGCAAGCATTTGCTACATTGAAAGTCAGCGCGGTCCACATTGTCCCGGAACAAAGCAAAGTAAACACAGCTCCTGCAGCGCTGGAAACGTTCAATAGCGACCTCCATTTAAGGCCGTCGAGCCAGCTAGGCTAGCTGGGCTTCCATGTGTCTCCCCCTATGTGGAATCTGGCAGGATCACAGGACAGACAGCAGCGCTCACAGCAACTATGCCCAACAGAGCCGCAGTATCCAAAATAAAAGTATATCAAAACACTGTCAGCTTTATAAAAACAATAAAACGTGGTCTCTCGTTCAGCTTTCAGCGTTCAACAACAAACAACATACGTCACGCTCAGATGGAGCCCCAAAAAGGAATAACACATGGACGCTTACTCAGTACACTTTTTAAATATCATATGGTCATCACTGTATCCAGCCATCATGACTTGAGATGTCCCTACCCATAACCCTAACCCTACATACTGTATATGTGAAGACATCTTGAGGCATCTTTGCTTGGAAAATGTTAATTCAAACAGTCAGTCAGCTCTTTTGTCTGTTAAGACGAACAGGCAAACATACTTTGAGGGTCGGTAGTTCAAGTTCATACCCAGGGAGTGGTTTTTGCCACCAGTATCACACAGTTGGATGGTGACTGTTTTCCTGCACTGCTCTCCAGGCCAGGCTCCGTCCGAGGCCAGATAGATGATGACAGACGCGGCGACTCCAGGTTGCGCAAATCCCACCTGGGCAAACAATTATAATTATTATGACCACAACCCAATGAGTTCAACTGTTCAATAATCAGTTCCTGAATGTCCCCTACTTCAATGGTAATTAGATTGCATGGTAATGATACCGGGGAAAGTATGACAACAGAAGCATGACAATACTGTGACAAACATGGCATGACAAATTGGGAGAAAGTACAAATATGTGCCGTGAAGCATAACAAATGACTGTTGGAACATTACTTTAGAGAGGGTTATAAATAGTTTGTCAAAAGTAGTGCACTATAAAGGAAAAAAAGGTGCCCCATGCATCCTCTGTGGTGGACTGGAGTACTCAACCTTTAGCCATACTGTATCTTCCTCATCATAGTAGGTCTGAGTGTACGACTGGGCCGTGCATGGAACCCATATGTCATGTGACGGCTTCTCATTCATCTCCAGGTACTTGGGCTTGCACAGCTTTAATACAAGGGGAATCGTACAGTAATTATTTAAAACCTTCGGTCACACTTTATTTGGATAGTCCCATGATATACAGATGGTTATACTATCAAGAAACTATCTGTTCATGAGCAAATGCTTGCTAACGTTACGGTTAGGGCTTTGGTTTAGAATAAGGGTTAGGGTTAGGGCTAGGGTTAAGGTTAGTGGACAGTTAGTTGAAATGTTGTTGACACCGGGAGTCCCATAGGGCGGCGAACAATTGGCCCAGTGTCGTCCAGGTTAGGGGAGGGTTTGGCCGGTGGGGGCTTTACTTGGCACATCACGCTTTAGCGACTCCTTGTGGCGGGAGCGGGTGCCTGCAAGCTGACTTCGGTCGTCGGTTGAACAGTGTTTCCTCCGACACATTGGTGCAGCTGGCTTCTGGGTTAGGCGAGCAGGTGTTAAGAAGCGCGGTTTGGCGGGTCATGTTTCGGAGGACTCATGACTCGACCTTCGCCTCTCCCGAGCCCATTGGGGAGTTGAGACAAGATTGTAATTGGAACGCAATGGCATATCACGCAATTGGGGAGAAAAAGGGGGTTAAACAATGCATAAATAAAAAATGTACATCTACAAACCATCTACAAACCATCTACAAACCATCTACTTGGGACTATCCAAATAAAGTGTTACCAAACGTTCAAAACACTCAATACTGTCACATTTACAGAAAGATAACAATTGTATCCAGGAGGTGGAGGACAGGGCAGAGGAAAGCACTGCTACCTTGCTAAGCGAGGGCTCTCCGGTGGCTGCCAGGGCAGGGCAGCTGCTTTGGTCCTGATGGGAGGCTGCTGCGGTGGAGGCCCACTGGTCACTGTACCCATGAGGGGTGAAGTAACCACAGTCCTGTATGCTGGAGCCCCTCTCAAACTCCTCACACACACCATCACCCTCAAAGACGTAGCACAGGCTGGGTTCACCTGGCGGAAACAATGGCGGCAAAGATATGTGGTGACTAAGCTTGCGTCCCAAATGGCACCCAATTCCCTTCATAGTGCACTACTTTTTAAACAGGACCCATAGGGCTCTGGTCAAATGTAGTGCACTATATATGGAATAGGGTGCCATTTGGGACTCAGTCCAAATGAACAGTCTGCTGGGGGGATTGCATTGTATTACAATAAGTAGATGCTGTCATCAGAAAACATTCCCGGAAAGATGTAGTTCAATAAAGAGGTGTGACAATGGTTCAGACAGAAAATAAAAAAGCAAAGCATTATGTAATACACAAAACATTTATCATGTGTGAACTTTAACATCAGAGGCTGGATTTGGCCCTGTTAGTTACAGACAGCTGTTTGGGTAGGATATAGTTTAGTCACTGACAAGGTGTTGAATTGGCATAATTAATCCAAGGAACTATGTCTCAAAAATAAAAAGTCTAGACAATATGGAATCAAACCACATTATCATCATAGCAGGTGGTTTGGATATTGTGCACTGACGATAATATACAGTACACAAAACAACACCTGTGACAATGATAAATGTGTTTTTACTTCAGTTGTTTGTCACAGCAATATCACTTTCAGGATAATACGAGTTGATGTTCATGCTTCAGATACATTGACTTCATAATCCATTCTTGTGTTGTAGGAGTTAACTTGACAAGCATCAGAATACCCAAACATGGAAACAAATATGTGCATGACTGAGTGAGAGTGAGGCACTATCTTGAATGGTGCAATGATTCTGTTCAATTTAGAATCCGTTTTTTGCCATCGTTTTTTTCCTGCTAGTCATGCCTTTTATTCCCAAAGAAAATATAACACTTTCAGTCACGGCATCTCTGAACCTTCATGGAATAGCTTTATTTTTTCTCCCTTGACAAAATTGAGGGGCTGTTGACGTCCTAGCTGAGTAATACATTCACAAAAGTTGCGTCCCAAATGGCACCCTATTCCCTTTATAATGCACAGCTTAATTTTCTTTTTTATTATTATGTGTATAATAATGTATCCTTGTCTTGTCCCCGAAATCATTGCTGATGCTTGAGGTGATAAATCAATTTGCCAAGTTGGGATTTAAAGTAATACTCTACCCTACTCTCCTCTACTCTGGTCAAAAGTAGTGCACGATAAAGTGAATGGGGTGCCATTTGGGACGTACACAAAAATGTGCCCCTTCACTTACTTTGACAATTTGCTGAAATACAGTTTGTGAGAATAGATCATGTAAATCCATTGAATTATCGTAGTTACTCAGTAACCATTAGGACTACTTCCTTGTGATTTATATTGTGTGCCAAATGACACATTTTATTTTAAGAAAACACATTGCTTTAACTAAGAGCATGATGATAAAGGAAGTTTATAAAAGAATCCCCCAGCATGGTGGATACATTTATAGGCAACACTACAACTGTGAGGTTGACATTTGCTGTTGTTACTGTGCAATGTCTACTTTTAGCTTGCCAAGTCTCTGAATGAAAACCAGAGACAAGGCAGTGTGTCAGCTTGACAGCATTGTGTTGTTGTGGAAATCCAAACAAGCTAGCTGTAGTAAACTTACCTCAGGAAAGAAAAATACCCTTCACAATTCACATCTCTGGGTGAGTGTTGTTTCAGTCTTTGAGTTCACATGATTTTGTTTTGAATTATATTAGATTACTGTATGCATAATGCGTAGTTTGGGTAAATTGACATAGTTAAGCGCAGACTGACTACAAATGACAGTATTTTGTTTATTTATTAATTTTTAATTAAGGGGGTAGATCAGCTTTAATATTGCAGACAGATTGTAGCTTCCATCAATGTAATTGTCTGCATAATTTCCAATCCATCATTTATATTTTTGTAAATATATACTGTATATACACAGTACCAGTCAAGATGTGATCAATACATATTATCCAGATACTGACTGTTAGCACTTGGTGGTCTATAGCAGCTTCCCACAAAAATGGGCTTTAGGTGAGGCAGATGAACCTTTAGCCATATTACTTCAACAGTATTTAACATTAGATTGTCTCTAAGCTTTACAGGAATGTGGTTCTGAATATAGACCGCAACACTGCCCCCGTTGGCATTTCTGTATTTTCGGTAAATGTTATAACCATGTATTGCTTCCCCTGTATCATCAAATGTATTATCTAAGTGAGTTTCAGATTGACTTCATGGACCTTGTTTCTCAGGCTGCATATGTTAATATGGGCTATTTTTAGCACTTTTCTGGGTTGCTTGATTGTTTTTAATGCTTTACTGGGAAGCTTATCAGAAGTAGACTTGCTCATGTTATTTATATTGGAACTGATAGTGCAGGGTGAGCTGCACACAATGGTCTTCCTACTAGGATACACCACCTCAGTGCTAACAGTGTAACTCTGGTTCATAGGCTCATGATTACTGCATACAATAGCTGTAGGATCAACAGAGGTATTTAGGGAAATTAGGGGGACATTTTAATCAGGTCAACATTCACAAGGCCGCAGGGCCAGACGGATTACCAGGACGTGTACTCCAAGCATGCACTGACTACCTGGCAAGTATCTTCACTGACATTTTCAACATGTCCCTGACTGAGTCTGTAATAGCAACATGTTTCAAGCAGACCACCATAGTCCCTGTGCCCAAGAACACTAAGGTAACCTTCCTAAATGACTACAGACCTGTAACAATCACATCTCTATCCATTAAGTGCTTTGAAAGGCTGGTCATGGCTCACATCAACACCATTATCCCAGAAACCCTAGACCCAGTCCAATTTGCATACCACCCCAACATTTTACTTCTGCTCTTTTTCTCTCAACACTTTTTTGTTGTTGTTTTATTTTACTTTTTTATTAAAAAATAAATGCATTGTTGGTTAAGAGCTGTAAGTAAGCATTTCACTGTAATGTATTCGGCGCATGTGGCCAATAAAATGTGATTTAATTTGATTTGATTTAATTTGATTTAATTTGATTTAACCGGTGCCCCCGCACATTGACTTTGTACCGGTACCCCCTGTATATTGCCTCGCTACTGTTATTTTTACTGTTATTTTACTGCTTTTATTTTTTACTTATCTATTGTTTACGTAACACTTATTTTTCTTAAAAATGAATTGTTGGTCAAGGGCTTGTAAGTAAGCATTTCACTGTAAGGTGAAATGCTTTTTATTTGATTTGCAGAGGATACGTTCATTAGAGTTAACTACACCTCAGATTGCAGCCCACATAAATGCTTCACAGAGTTCAAGTAACAGACACATCTCAACATCAACTGTTCAGAGGAGACTGCGTGAATCAGGCCTTCATGGTTGAATTGCTGCAAAGAAACCACTACTAAAGGACACCAATAAGAAGAAGAGACTTGCTTGGGCCAAGAAACACGAGTGATGGACATTGGTTTGATGAGTCCAAATGTGAGATCTTTGGTTCCAACCACTGTGTCTTTGTGAGACGCAGAGTAGGTGAACGGATGATCTCCGCATGTGTGGTTCCCATCGTGAAGCATGGAGGAGGAGGTGTGATGGTGTGGGGGTGCTTTGCTGGTGACACTGTCTGTGATTTGTTTAGAATTCAAGGCACACTTAACCAGCATGGCTACCACAGCATTCTGCATCGATACGCCATCCCATCTGGTTTGCGCTTAGTTGGACTATCATTTGTTTTTCAACAGGACAATGACCCAAACCACAGCTCCAGGCTGTGTAAGGGCTATTTGAACAAGAAGGAGAGTGCTGGAGTGCTGCATCAGATGACCTGGCCTCCACAATCACCCGACCTCAACCCAATTGAGATGGTTTGGGATGAGTTGGACCGCAGAGTGAAGGAAAAGCAGCCAACAAGTGCTCAGCATGTGTGGGAACTCCTTCAAGACTGTTGGAAAAGCATTCTGCATGAAGCTGGTTGAGAGAATGCCAAGAGTGTGCAAAGCTGTCATCAAGGCAAAGGGTGGCTACTTTGAAGAATCTAAAATCTTTATTTAACACTTTTTTGGTTACTACATGATTCCATATGTGTTATTTCATAGTTTTGATGTCTTCACTATTATTCTACAATGTAGAAAATAGTAAAAATTAAGAAAAACCTTTACTTGGCTCATCGCACTCTAGCGACTCCTTGTTGCAGGCAGGGCGCCTGCAGGTGGATCTCGTTCGTCAGTTGAACGGTGTTTCCTCCGATACATTGGTGCGGTTGACTTCCGGGTTAAACGGGCGGGTGTTAAGAAGCGCGGTTTGGCGGGTCATGTTTTGGAGGACGCATGACTCGACCTTCGCCTCCCGAGCCAGTTGGGGAGTTGCAGTGATGAGACAAAATCGAAATTGGGGAGAAAAAGGAGGTAAAATACATGAAAAACGTATTCAGACCCTCTGCTATGAGACTCGAAATTGAGCTCAGGTGCATCCTGTTTCCATTGATCATCCTTGAGATGTTTCTACAACTTGACTGGAGTCCACCTGTGGTCAATTGAATGGACATGATTTGGAAAGGCACACACCTGTCTATATAAGGTCCCACAGTTGACAGTGCATGTGAGAGCAAAAACCAAGCCATGAGGTCGAAGGAATTGTCCGTAGAGCTCCGAGACAGGATTGTGTAGAGACACAGATCTGGGGAAGGGTACCAAAACATTTCTGCAGCATTGAAGGTCCCCAAGAACACAGTGGCCTCCATCATTCTTAAATGGAAGAAGTTTGACTCTCCAAGACTCTTCCTAGAGCTTGCCGCCTGGCCAAACTGAGCAATCGGGGGAAAATGGGCCTTGGTCAGGGAGGTGACCAAGAACCCGATGGCCACTCTGACAGAGCTCTAAAGTTCCTCTGGCGAGAACCTTCCAGAAGGACAACCATCTCTGCAGCACTCCACTAATCAGGCCTTCATGGTAGAGTGGCCAGACAGAAGCCACTCCTCAGTAAAAAGCATATGACAGCCCACTTGGAGTTTGCCAAAATTCACCTAAAGACTCTCAGACCATGAGAAACAAGATTCTTTGGTCTGATGAAACCAAGATTGAACTCTTTGACTTGAATGCCAAGCGTCACGTCTGGAGGAAACTTGGCACCATCCCTACGGTGAAGCATGGTGGTGGCAGCATCATGCTGTGGGGATGTCTTTCAGCGGCAGGGACTGGGAGACTAGTCAGGATCGAGGGAAAGATGAATGGAGCAAAGTACAGAGCGATCCTTGATGAAAACCTGCTCCAGAGCGCTCAGAACCTCAGACTGGGGCGAAGGTTCACCTTCCAACAGGACAACGACCCTAAGCACACAGCCAAGACAACGCAGGAGTGGATTCGGGACAAGTCTCTGAATGTCCTTGAGTGGCCCATCCAGAGCCCGGACTTTAACCCGATCGAACATCTCTGGAGAGACCAGAAGATTGCTGTGCAGCAACACTCCCCATCCATCCTGACAGAGCTTGAGAGGATCTGCAGAGAAGAATGGGAGAAACTCCCCAAATACAGGGGTGCCAAGCTTGTAGAGTCATACCCAAGAAGACTCGAGGCCAAAGGTGCGTCAACATAGTACTGAGTAAAGGGTCTGAATACTTATGTAAATGTCATATTTCTTTTTTTTATTTGTAATAAATTAGCAAAAAACATCTAAAAAAAGATTGATGAGGGGAAAAAAACATTTTAATCCATTTTAGAATAAGGCTGTATCGTAACAAAATGTGGAAAAAGTCAATGGGTCTAAATGCTTTCCGAATGCACTGTATCTCTGAAGAACATCCAGTTTTGATTTCTATTTGCCAGATATTTTTAACTGTGCTATTTCACAAAAGTTCTGAAGCTATATACATTTTATGGAAACAGTATATTTTACATGAGTTATCTTGTTGTTTTTAGTCCCACCCTTCAGCTCCACTCAAACCCTCCCATCTATCTTTGAACACCATCTAGTTTTGATTTCTATTTGCCATATATTCTTCAACTGTGCTGTGATGTTTCACAAAAGTTCTGAACCTTTCTACTCTCATAGTTTCTACAAATTATAAATGAAAGCTACATTTTGCAAAAAATATTAAAAGTACAAATGACAGTATTTGTGATATGAAATCAGTGCATGGAGCTAGTGCGTGGAGCTAATGAAGAATGTGTTTGTTTTCTATGTTTGTGTTTTGCTTTTCGTGTATTGATGTGAATATTGATGTGTATATTGATGTGTATAGTGTATATTGATGTGTAATGATGTGTTTGATGTTTATACAGGGCTCATCTGTAAAAAAAATAAAATAAAAATCCCTGTCAAAATAAAGGTTAAATAAAATAAAAATGTATTCAAATGTGTGTGATAAGTGATTACTCTTTACTTAGTTATTTAGTTACTTACTTAGTTTACTTCGTTAGTTTTGTTAAGTTGTGACCTGTCTTGACTTACACTAATGTTCAACTTAATAAAGGCATTTTGACTGAGCTTGAAATGAAGCTTCTGCTTGCAAGTACTGTTTCGCTTGAGTCCCATCAACATGTGGTGTATTCATTCCGCAAAACGTTTTGCAACAGAAACCCTTTACTCTCAAACGGAAAATGTTTTGCAATGAAAACATGAGTTCCTATTGGTCAAATTCAGGTAGGTCCCTCCCTGTTTCTGTCATTTGGTTCTTAAACGGTAAACGGTTTCCGTTGCAAGACATAATGAATACACCCCTGGTCTAGTTGGGCTTCTGTTTTGGTCATTCCACAGACTGTAGACTGAGACCAGGATTAGGAGAGTGGTCTTGTATGTTCTTCACTCACCATTGCAGTTGAAGCCTGACTCCATGTGGCACTTCTTAGAGCAGCCATCACCATCCAACAGATTGCCATCATCACAGTCCTCTGTCCTACAGACACAGAGACAGCAAGGATCAGTAATCTCCATAGTCCATACACTTTCATTACAAAAACACACATCCTTTGATTTCACTACATTCTCCACTTAGAGAGACCAATATGTATGACCTATATGAGTATACTGTAGTTTGGCTTCACTTGCACACTTGCTAATGTAGGCTCAGCCCTTATTTGTGATCTCTGTTACCTGGAGTTGCATGGCAAGTGGTTCAGGAACACAAGGAATGCACAAAGGACAATGCCCAAGGACTAGTCAGCCCTTCCCCCTCTAAGGGGCCAAAATGTAACTCTCTGTTATAGTATTCAGAGGACTGACTATTGAATATGATAGAATAATACTATAGTTGTTCACTGAGGATAACTCTGATGCTATTTATATGGATGTATTATATCTGTGGTAACTTGTATCTGTACAGGGTGAACTCTGAATTACTCTATGCAAAAAGGTTTTATTGTCTTCTCAGGAATTCTGTCTAATTTACAGTGGGGAAAAAAAGTATTTAGTCAGCCACCAATTGTGCAAGTTCTCCCACTTAAAAAGATGAGAGAGGCCTGTAATTTTCATCGTAGGTACACGTCAACTGTGACAGACAAAATGAGAAAAGAAATTCCAGAAAATCACATTGTAGGATTTTTAATGAATTTATTTGCAAATTATGGTGGAAAATAAGTATTTGGTCAATAACAAAAGTTTCTCAATACTTTGTTATATACCCTTTGTTGGCAATGACACAGGTCAAACGTTTTCTGTAAGTCTTCACAAGGTTTTCACACACTGTTGCTGGTATTTTGGCCCATTCCTCCATGCAGATCTCCTCTAGAGCAGTGATGTTTTGGGGCTGTCGCTGGGCAACACGGACTTTCAACTCCCTCCAAAGATTTTCTATGGGGTTGAGATCTGGAGACTGGCTAGGCCACTCCAGGACCTTGAAATGCTTCTTACGAAGCCACTCCTTCGTTGCCCGGGCGGTGTGTTTGGGATCATTGTCATGCTGAAAGACCCAGCCACGTTTAATCTTCAATGCCCTTGCCGATGGAAGGAGGTTTTCACTCAAAATCTCACGATACATGGCCCCCTTCATTCTTTCCTTTACACGGATCAGTCGTCCTGGTCCCTTTGCAGAAAAACAGCCCCAAAGCATGATGTTTCCACCCCCATGCTTCACAGTAGGTATGGTGTTCTTTGGATGCAACTCAGCATTCTTTGTCCTCCAAACACGACGAATTGAGTTTTTACCAAAAAGTTATATTTTGGTTTCATCTGACCATATGACATTCTCCCAATCCTCTTCTGGATCATCCAAATGCACTCTAGCAAACTTCAGACGGGCCTGGACATTTACTGGCTTAAGCAGGGGGACACGTCTGGCACTGCAGGATTTGAGTCCCTGGCGGCGTAGTGTGTTACTGATGGTAGGCTTTGTTACTTTGGTCCCAGCTCTCTGCAGGTCATTCACTAGGTCCCCCCGTGTGGTTCTGGGATTTTTGCTCACCGTTCTTGTGATCATTTTGACCCCACAGGGTGAGATCTTGCGTGGAGCCTCAGATCGAGGGAGATTATCAGTGGTCTTGTATGTCTTCCATTTCCTAATAATTGCTCCCACAGTTGATTTCTTCAAACCAAGCTGCTTACCTATTGCAGATTCAGTCTTCCCAGCCTGGTGCAGGTCTACAATTTTGTTTCTGGTGTCCTTTGACAGCTCTTTGGTCTTGGCCATAGTGGAGTTTGGAGTGTGACTGTTTGAGGTTGTGGACAGGTGTCTTTTATACTGATAACAAGTTCAAACAGGTGCCATTAATACAGGTAACGAGTGGAGGACAGAGGAGCCTCTTAAAGAAGAAGTTACAGGTCTGTGAGAGCCAGAAATCTTGCTTGTTTGTAGGTGACCAAATACTTATTTTCCACCATAATTTGCTAATAAATTCATTAAAAATCCTACAATGTGATTTTCTGGATTTTTTTTCTCAATTTGTCTGTCATAGTTGACGTGTACCTATGATGAAAATTACAGGCCTCTCTCATCTTTTTAAGTGGGAGAACTTGCACAATTGGTGGCTGACTAAATACTTTTTTTCCCCACTGTACATTGGTCTCATACCCGACACAAGTCTTTAATTGCTGTGACACCCTGTGGAGATTGGGCCTTGGTGGTCAGGTTACTCTGTAAACTTGGTATCATTTAATTGGTCAATGTTTGTTGGTTTTGGGTTGAAAGGTTACACCTTCAGATGTTATAAATTGAAATAAATGCCTTTGTTCTCTCTCATCATGTATCCAGGCTTCCTGGGCATCTAAGCCTCTGGCTTAATAGGCATCTCTTTATTCATGCTTTGTCTTCTAAGTTAGCCTTAGAAGTATGCTTTGTAATGCTTGTTAATGCTTTGTAACTTAAGATTTATTTCTTGTATGTGAATCCATTCATTGTACAATGTTAATTTAAAATCCTCCTTTGATATAGACAATTCTATTTGTACTTGAAACTGTCCAGAGTAATGAAGGTGGACTTGTTTAGCATGATTACATCATTGCTGTGTATCAATTAATAGTATTAATTAATGCATATATTATGGGCATTTTCATTCTACTGTTGGTATGGTCTACAATGGATGAGAGAAAAGAGAACATACAGCTGCCTTCAGAAAGTATTCACACCCCTTGACTTATCCCACATTTTGTTGTGTTACAGCCTGAATTTAAAATGGATGAAATTGAGATTGTTTTATTACTGGCCTACACACAATACCCCATAATGCCAAAGTGGAATTATGTTTTTCATTTTTATTTATTTTATTAAAAATGAAAAGCTGAAATGTCTTGAGTCAATAACTATTCAACACCTTTGTTATAGCAAGCCTAAATAAGTTCAGGAGTAAAAATTTGCTTAACAAGTCACATAATAAGTTGCATGGACTTGCTGTGTGCAATGATATAGTTTAACATGATTTTTGAATGACTACCACATCTCTGTACCCCACACATACAATTATATTTAAGGTTTTTCAGTCAAGCAGTGAATTTCAAACACAGATTTAACCACAAAGACCAGGGATGTTTTCCAATGCCTCGCAAAGAAGGGCACCTATTGGTAGATGGGTAAAAATAAAAATAAAAGCAGACATTGAATATCTCTTTGAGCATGGGGAAGTTATGAATTACACTTTGGATGGTGTATCAATACACCCAGTCACTACAAATATACAGGCTAATTCAGTTGCAGGAGAGGAAGGAAACCGCTCAGGGATTTCACCATGAGGCCAATGGGGACTTTAAAACAGTTACATAGTTTAATGGCTGTGATAGGAGAAAACTGAGGATGGATCAAAACATTGTAGTTACTCCACAATACTAACCTAATTGACAGAGTGAATGAAAGGAAGCCTGCACAGAATACAAATATTCCAAAAAATGCATCTTGTTTGCAACAAGGTACTAAAGTAATACTGCAAAAAATATGGCAAAGCAATTACCTTTTTGTCCTGAATAGTGTTATGTTTGGGGAAAATCCAATACAACACATTACTGAATACCACTCTCCATATTTTCAAGCATAGTGGTGGCTCCATCATGTTATGTGTATGCTTGTAATCGTTAAAGGACTGTGGCGTTTTTAAGGATAAAAAAGAAACAGAATTGAGCTAAGCACAGGCAAAATCCTAGAGGAAAACCTGGTTTAGTCTGCTTTCCACCATACACTGGGAGATGAATTAACCTTTCAGCAGGACAATAACCTAAAACACAATGCCAAATCTACACTGGAGTTGCTTACCAAGAAGACAGTGAATGTTCCTGAGTGGCCGAGTTACAGCTATCACTTAAACCTCATTTTAAATAAATTTGCAAAAATGTCTAAAAACATGTTTTCACTTTGTCATTATGGGGTATTGTGTGTCAATGGGTGGATAAGAGCGTCTGCTAAATGACGTAAATGTAAATGTAAGAAAAAAAAATCTAGCCATTATGAATTCAGGCTGCAACACAACAAAATGTGGAATAAGTCAAGGGGTATGAATACTTTCTCAAGGCACTGTATCTGGGATGTGAATACTGTGTAAACTGACTGACCCATTGAGTAGTCCGTCACCGCAGTAGGCAGCTCCATGGGTGTAGAGGAGAGGTGGGGAGAGCTCACTGAGAAGACCGTCTGCTTCCACCTGAACTCTGTACTGGTACTCCATGTCCTTTACAATGTCACTGTTGGAACAAATCAAAACATGCAACATTCAAGTATAAGCAGATTTCTAAATACATGTTTGTCTCATGGAATTGTATTACTTTAGTACTAAAGATATAATTGACATTTCAGATTATTTCCAGGTGGAATTGTTGCATAGAGATACAAAATGACTAAACTATACCGATAGCTATTATTGTCAAAGAACGATTTTGAACAGCAAGGTTAGATGGAAACGACACAGTGCACAAAGATACACAATAAGAAACAGATTGTTCTTGTGTATCTGTGTCCAGAGTCACCTAGTCATCTAAGCTTGCTGTAAGAAGCAGTGACCTTAAACCTAAACAGGAGGTACGGTGGGTACAGTGATATCATACCTCCTGTCCCAGAGCTATTGACCTGTTTTAGTCAGCTCCAAACTATAAAAAGAGCCTACCCTTGATTTCCCGACAGCACTACTTAATTACCATTGTCTCTGGCCAGCTGTAAAGAATGCCTACAAAAATGCACATCATCTACTCTCTCAGACGTGTCGGATTTCCTCCCGCTACAAATTACCCTTATTAATTATGGATCAACTGTAAGAGCCTGCTCTATCTAGCATTCCACCGGAGGAGCCTGTGTGGTTTTTCTTTACAGGACATAGACTTAGGGTCGTTTTGGGAATGATACATTTACATTTTACATTTTAGTCATTTAGCAGACGCTCTTATCCAGAGCGGCTTACAATTAGTGAGTGCATACATTTTTCATACTGCCCCAGTTATTAATGTCCAAGTCAAATGTTTATGAGCCACGAGTTAGCAGAAACTAGGCTATGAGGGTCAGGGGAGAATTACACATCCGTGTTCATGGATTAACGGCATAATTTTATCCTACTCCTATTTCACCCCAAAAGTGTTTTTTTTCTCTCCTAATGGACCAAAAATGAGAGTCTATTTTTAAGGATTAGGATATCAAGTGCAAAACCAACTTGTTTTGCCAGCTATACCTCTTGGTGGCAGTGTAGACTCACAGTTAGCCACAATTCTTAGCCTTTCTTTCATTTCTCTCCTGCAATGCACTCCATTTCTCTCTCTTCACCCCCTCCTCCAAATGACAGGCCTCTCACTTATCATATACTAACCATGATGAGCATACAGTACAGAGCCTTCAGCGGGAAGAAATGGCTGAGGAACAGCTCCAAAGAGCCACAGGTGTTTACTGTTTCTGCTGGTCACATTTGGTTTATATTCCAGAGACTGCCTTTCCCCAACCCCAACCTCTCTGCCCTCCTCTTCCCTCCACATAACTTAATTCCCCTTGGTTTTTACATCTTTTTGCACTTACAGCCGCTTGTGGAACTTTTAGAGATGAAACCAAATGTATTCCTCAATGTGACCATTTAAGCACATCCACCTACTTCTGCAAGTGCTTGAAAAGCAACAACATCCCAGAAAGTGTTTGTGGAAAATTATAACATCATTCACAAAAAATTGTGTATGACACTAATACCGAATACAAGCTGACTCTAATGACTAAAAGTAAGCTAGAACAGAATGTAAAAAAATTATAAGGTGGGAAATGGTTAGGGGACTGACTTCTGTTATGTGTAATGCAAAGCTGGATGCAGATAATCAATTTAACACCTTTTCTCACCATGTGGGATTAAAATGGTTTGACATACGCCGGAATCCTCTGAAAACGTTTTATTGAATAAGGCCCTTGATGTTGATTTGGATCAGTAGCTAGTGCTAAGAAGCATGTTGAATACATTTGGTTCTGTGTTGCGAAAACTGTACCAGACCAAAACACTTGAGAATGATGAATATCTTAGCTTCTGGGGCAACAGACGATTGCATTGTATGGTCTTTGTAAGTGACATACTATAAATTATACTTTGATCGTGTTTTTTTTTGTGTGTGTGTGTATTCTTAGGTCCACTTCTTGGAGCAGTGGTACATGACCTCAAAACAATACATCACAGGAGAACTTTCCAGACTAAGGTCAAAGTATTTGCCGAATTCCAGAGTGTGCGGCTACATATATCTGTCAGTGTCAATCTTACTGTACCTGTCTGTAAATGTAAGTAGAGTTTGCTGGACCAAATCGCCTGAAAACGGTGGTTGCCGGACAACTCGGTAGATCAGAGGCTGGCAACTGGAGCAGAGAGGATTATGGGTGCCAGAAGTAAGCAGGATAGCATCAATCTCCATCTTCTCATCAAAGGTGCTCAGTTTGACAGCTGCCACCCTTTTTTCGGTGTGCACATGTAGGGTGAGGGGCACATCACAGAAGACGTGCTGTGGACCCATATCTAGAGACTCGCCTGTGTCTGTTATTAGCTCGATGTTGGCGATCACCTGGTTATCTGTAGAGACAACATGGTGGATAATCATCAGCTGTATAATCAAGCAGTTCCAGAGTAGTGCACATGCTTGGCCCTTTATTTATTCATAAATACCTAGGACAAATACTTGGTATAACTTCACATTACCTGCTCAGATGAACAGCGAAAGCATTATCATTCAGGTAGACACAACGTGTGGCTTGTATTGTGGAGAGTTTCAGCAATGCTAAATGTACACTGTTGGAGACCACTAAAATGAACCCAGGACCCACCGGCTGAGATGTAGGTGACCCACACAGTGAGGCTGTCAGGGACCACAGGGTGGAGGAAGCGCAGCATCAGGACGCAGCCCTCGGTTTCAGGGCAGGGAGACGTCACGTTTGCATCATACAGGCTGAGCTCTGGACTCCAGGCCTGTAGGCTGGGCTCACAGGGCTGGTATACATCTGGAGGGCCTGTAAACGCACACACACGCACACACACACTGGTCTTACAATATATACACCTACTGTATATGCTTCCCAAATGGCACCCTATCTCCTTTATAGTGCATTACTTTTGACAAGGGCCTATAGGGGTCTGGTCAAATGTAGTATACTATATTGGGAATATGGTGCCATTTGGGATGCAACCAAAGAAAGGGAAAAGTTACAACAGATATAGCAGATAGGCCTATAACTTTTTTCTACATCCAAGCCTTCTTAACTGATGACATACACAGTACCTGCCCACCCACACTTGTAAAATGCAGAGAGCTAGAAGGTTATTCATTGGTTTCAAAGATACTGCACTAATTAAAGACAACATTTTTTGTCATTTAGCAGACGCTCTTATCCAGAGCGACTTACAGTTAGTGAATACACAATTTATTTTATTTTTTATTTTTTTATACTGGCCCCCCATGGGAAACGAACCCACAACCCTGGCGTTGCAAACGCCATGCTATATCAACTGAGCTACATCCCTGCCGGCCATTCCCTCCCCTACCCTGGACAACGCTGGGCCAATTGTGCGCCGCCCATGAGTATCCCGGTCGCTGCCGGCTACGACAGAGCCTGGATTCAAACCAGGATCTCTTGTGGCACAGTTAGCACTGCGATGCAGTGCCTTAGACCACTGCGCCACTCAGGAGCTCAAAGACAACAAAGTGCCTATCTCTACTAAGGTTGATCTCTACCATGATTTGAATCACTGAAAAACCATTACTATATTATTATTAAAGAAGAGGGCTACTAGAGAGTACCAGCGATGTTCTGAGGGAGAAACATACAGTAAATAGAGACTGGGAAAATCACATGAACTGGTTGTGGACTGGACAGGTATTTTCCAAACCACCCTCTGGAACACAACATCCCCAGGTGCAACTACACAGGAAAGGAATCCATGCCTTAATTGGGACAGACAGGGCTCACAAAACAATTTATAAAGCATGTTAATTTCCTCTGTGGTAAAAGAGGAACAGGAGCAGGTCGTGTGTCTCAGCAGAGCACTGAACTAAACTGCCGGATGGAGAGGGATAGAGGGAGAGAGCCTGCAGCACCCAATGTGGCTCCTTCACATGTGTGGATTTGTGCAGGGTAAACATCAGCACGCCAAGTCAAACCATAAAACTAAATTGGTCAGATAAACAGAGAAAGGCCTCAACACAGGCCCAGATTAATCACTGTATCAGATGTGGCAAACAGCTCCCACAGGAAGCCTAGTAGGAAAGCCTGGTGCTTCAAGATCTTTGTGTATCATCATTCATACTTTCAGCAACTTAACCATGTCACTACTTTGCCCTTTCTCAAGATTAAATAGACTCCCCAGGTCTGGAAATTAATGCTTGGGTTTCAGTGGAGGAACACATCAAAGGGAGGATATGTTTCTTGAAAGGAATGATGTAGCCTAGATACAGTATTTTACCTGAAGTAAATGTTCTATGCATGTTTTATTAATTTATTAAATGTTTAAAAGTTACCTAAATCAATTTAGGCGCCTGCATTTTTAAAATTATGTTTAATTATGTTTAATTTGTAAAAGGGTAACACTGGTACTGGGGTGGAACATTTTGACTGGTTTGGACTTCTACACCTAAGCCGTGATCTAATGCCAACCTAGTCTCAGAGGAAAACATATAATATTTTACTAAAATCCATGCCCCTCAATTTAGTATGATATGTTAATTTACGTTAGGTTACATTACATTGGGCTAACAATGTAATAGCGGTTGTACAATATAATACAAATTGTAGGACGTATAGTATCCTACGTGTTGATCGTTTAGTATGATATATTAGGTTCAACGGCTTTAGTATGATATGCTACGTTTGACTGCTTTAGTATGAAATATTGTGTTTGACTGCTTTAGTATTATATATTACATTCAACTGCTTTAGTATGATATATTATGTTTGCCTGCATTAGAATTATATGCTACGTTAGGTTAGGGTTAAGGTTAGGGTTAAGAGTTAGGTTAAAGGGTTAAGGTTAGGGTTAGGGGAAGGGTTAGCTAACATGCTCAGTATTTGCAAAGTAGATAAAAAATAGTAAGTATTCTTTTTTAATATTTTTTTTTATATACAGTGGGGAGAACAAGTATTTGATACACTGCCAATTTTGCAGGTTTTCCTACTTACAAAGCATGTAGAGGTCTGTAATTTTTATCATAGGTACACTTCAACTGTGAGAGACGGAATCTAAAACAAAAATCCAGAAAATCACATTGTATGATTTTTAAGTAATTTTTTATTTGCATTTTATTGCATGACATAAGTATTTGATCACCTACCAACCAGTAAGAAATCCGGCTCTCACAGACCTGTTAGTTTTTCTTTAAGAAGCCCTCCTGTTCTCCACTCATTACCTGTATTAACTGCACCTGTTTGAACTCGTTAACTGTATAAAATACACCTGTCCACACACTCAATCAAACAGACTCCAACCTCTCCACAATGGCCAAGACCAGAGAGCTGTGTAAGGACATCAGGGATAAAATTGTAGACCTGCACAAGGCTGGGATGGGCTACAGGACAATAATAGGCAAGCAGCTTGGTGAGAAGGCAACAACTGTTGCCACAATTATTAGAAAATGGAAGAAGTTCAAGATGACGGTCAATCACCCTCGGTCTGGGGCTCCATGCAAGATCTCACCTCGTGGGGCATCAATGATCATGAGGAAGGTGAGGGATCAGCCCAGAACTACACGGCAGGACCTGGTCAATGACCTGAAGAGAGCTGGGACCACAGTCTCAAAGAAAACCATTAGTAACACACTACGCCGTCATGGATTAAAATCCTGCAGTGCACGCAAGGTCCCCCTGCTCAAGTCAGGGCATGTCCAGGCCCGTCTGAAGTTTGCCAATGACCATCTGGGTGATCCAGAGGAGGAATGGGAGAAGGTCATGTGGTCTGATGAGACAAAAATAGAGCTTTTTGGTCTAAACACCACTCGCCGTGTTTGGAGGAAGAAGAAGGATGAGTACAACCCCAAGAACACCATCCCAACCGTGAAGCATGGAGGTGGAAACATCATTCTTTGGGGATGCGTTTTTGTAAAGGGGACAGGACGACTGCACCGTATTGAGGGGAGGATGGATGGGGCCATGTATCGCGAGATCTTGGCCAACAACCTCCTTCCCTCAGTAAGAGCATTGAAGATGGGTCGTGGCTTGGTCTTCCAGCATGACAACGACCCGAAACACACAGCCAGGGCAACTAAGGAGTGGCTCCGTAAGAAGCATCTCAAGGTCCTGGAGTGGCCTTGCCAGTCTCCAGACCTGAACCCAATAGAAAATCTTTGGAGGGAGCTGAAAGTCTGTATTGCCCAGCGACAGCCCTGAATCCTGAAGGATCTGGAGAAGGTCTGTATGGAGGAGTGGGCCAAAATCCCTGCTGCAGTGTGTGCAAACCTGGTCAAGACCTACAGGAAATGTATGATCTCTGTAATTGCAAACAAAGGTTTCTCTACCAAATATTAAGTTCTGCTTTTCTGATGTATCAAATATTTATGTCATGCAATTAAATGCAAATTAATTACTTAAAAATCATACAATGTGATTTTCTGGATTTTTGTTTTAGATTCCGTCTCTCACAGTTGAAGTGTACCTATGATAAAAAATTACAGACCTCTACATGCTTTTTTTTTTTTTTTTTTTTTTTTGGGGGGGTGGATCAGCTTAATATTGCAGATAGATTGTATCTTCTATCAATGTAATTGTCTGCATCACTTCCAATCCCCCATGTTTATTTTTATTTTTTATATATATATTCCCCTTTATTACTTTTCAACCCCACCATCCTTTCCCTACTTGGAGTAGATTAGTGAACAACAACGCCCAGGCCTCTACTTCCGGTCTATACTTACTATCTACTATCTACACCTTATGGACAGAGTTAATTTTACAATAATTCTATATATATATATATATATATATATATATATATATATATATATATATATATATATATATATTTATTTATTTTTTTGCTCCTGAACTTATTCTACTCTCAACCTCTCCGATCATTTTCATGACGTCCATCCCGTTTGCTTCTATATGCCATATCTTTCTAACTGTGCTCTTTCCCAAAAGCTCCCAACATACAACCTATATACTAATTATGGACACAGTATGCTTACATTATTAGCTATCTTTGTTATTATTTGTTGTTATTTGTTATTAGTCCCATCCTTCAACTCTATTCAATACCTCCCATCTATCTCTTAACACCATCCATATAGGATTTCTATTTGCCATATATATTTCAACCGTACTGTGATGTTTTACAAAAGTTCTGAACCTTTCTATTCTCATTGCTTCTACAGATTGTGAATAAAAAATAAACATTTTTGCTAAAAGTATTATTATATTATTGATTGATTGACTATGACTTTTCAGATGACCCAGTAATGCTATCTGCAAGGTTAGCTCCAGGTAAATATTGCAATCCTTTAGCCATTCCTGGACCTGAGTCCAAAAACAAGCTACCAATGGACAGAACCAAAACAAATGATCTAATGATTCTGTCTCTTCACAGCAAAATCTGCAGAGCTGGGAAGATTGTATCCCCCATATAAATAACATTCTATTGGTAGCAAGAATTTTATATAATAATATAAATTGAAAGATTCTAATTTTTGAATCCAGTGTCGTTTTGCGTGTCAGTTCATAAACACTATGCCATGGGATCGGTACGTCAAAGATCTCTTCCCAACTATTTTGCAATCTATATGGGACGGCTGTCAATCCTTTGGTCCTTAAGTGAAACTGATATACTTTTTTATTTATCACAGTTTTCTTTAACCAATTATGTTCTTTAATGCAAGGCCGACAGACAAGTTCCTTACTTTCTCCCCCTTCCACTTTCCTCTTCCACTTTTGCGGTAAGGCTGCAATTATTTGGTTGTAATTTTGGGTAGAGCAGACATTTCCATATGTTTTTGTTAGCTGCATGTGCGACATAACTCCACCAGTCCTACC